CTTTTGTAGTTTCCACAAGCATATAATAAACTGACCAAATTTGGGAATTAAACTCTGTAGACTTTCAACTATTTCATATTTCTGTTCCAATTTGTCTCCTCCCAGAGCATTAACCACTGTATTCACTTTAGTGTTTCCTTCTCGTTCACAACCTTTTTATGGATTTAATGCTTCCTAAGTGGTTTAACTCAATCATTGACTTATATCAGTATATGGGTTCCATTTAAGTACAAAGTTAAAATCCATGTATTGTCATTCATAATATGCACATGTATGGACTTGTATTTGTTGGAATGTATTGTATTGAACAGTATCTCAATCCTTCATCCAGTGTATGATTTAGTAATGCATATCTTAACTGATTACTGTTGTATCTAACGGCACTGATATTATTCTTTGTTCTTTTTCTTTTGTGTGTGAATCAGCGGAAAGTAAATCTACAAATGACAACAGTCGAGACCAACCAGTTGTTCCAGTAGTATCTTCTTTAACTACAACTACAAGCAACACCTTAAGTACTACTCCATCCACTCCCAACAGACGTGAAGAACTGAAAATTTCTTCCCAGCTTCGGAAATTCTCCTATAATGAGCTTAAGTCAGCAACCCGGAATTTTAGACATGGGAGTCTTCTTGGGGAGGGTGGGTTTGGTTGTGTATATAAAGGTTGGATCAATGAGAATGGAACATCTCCGGTGAAACCTGGCATGGGCCTGCCTGTTGCTGTAGAAACCCTCAACCATGACGGACTTCAGGGTCATAAAGAATGGCTTGTATGAGATCCTTATCATTTAATTATTTTCATATGTGTATGTATGCGTGCGTATGTGTTTATGCTTGTGCATGCCTGTTTGCATGTGTGTGAATATGTATAAATAAATATATATCTTGCTTGGAGATTTGGCTTACTTTTAAGGCATTTTATCTTGACTTTCCCTATGATGGAAAGAAAGCTTCTGATCTCTACGTTATGGCAGGCTGAAGTTAATTTTCTTGGTAACATCTCCATCCTAATCAGGCTGATGTTACTTGTGTATGAGTTCATGCCTCGAGGAAGCTTGGAGAACCACCTGTTTAGAAGTATGTAACTGCATTTACTATTTCCCCAATTTTGGCTACATTTCTTCTATTGCATCATATAAATGTTTTCTCAACCGTTTATGGAATGTACAGCCTGTAGCATCCTTTACATAATCTCTGTATCATAAATATAGATATTTCGCAACTAAATGCACAAAAGAGTTGTGCATCCAACTAGCCCCTAGAGATAGCAGCATCCTTTTGGCCAAGTGATGATCTGCATGCAGATCTTTTCTTCACTTTTCCTTGGAAATAACTTTATGAACAGGGTCTCTGCCTCTTCCTTGGTCCATCAGAATGAAAATTGCACTTGGTGCTGCAAAGGGCCTCGCCTTTCTTCATGAAGAAGCTGAAAAGCCAGTGACATATCGAGCCTTTAAGACCTCCAATACCCTGTTAGATGGGGTGCGTAAACCAACATAATCTATCTTTTCCTTATTTATGCCACTTCTAATTGTTCGTTAAATCACTCGTCCAGGACTACAATGCCAAGCTTTCTGATTTTGGACTTGCCAAAGATGGATAAGACTATCTACCCGAGTAATGGGAACTTATGGTTATGCTGCCCCTGAGCATGTGATGACAGGTTAGAATGATTGAACATGTCTTTTCTTTTTGTTCAGTTTTATCTGTATTCTGGATTAGAACAATGTCCAGCTGGTTTAACTTCTTTATATTGAATAGAATCCTTTGCTGTCTTTTACACCTGTTAGTTTTAGGTTGTTCTCTTGCTTATGCTTTCCCGCATTTCTTTGCACTTCTCCTAGTTGTCGTATTTAATATGGTGTATATATTAGAGACCATTATCACCATCAGTACCATACCTGACTCACCTTTACTTCTCACTGGTGGTCCACTGCTACATAGCTTAGAAGAAAACAGAAGTAGTTGATGTGGGAGTTGAAACAAAAGTATGTACCCTTGAAGCACTTTGAATTAGGTGCTTCGATGTGAAGAGTGGGGTATGAGCCGAAGGTATTTAATATGAAAATTGATGATCACAATGGTGGATAGATTTCCACGTGTAAAGACTATATTATTCGGTTACGACAATTTCTTCATTTCTTATTTTAAGCTAGAACAAATTACTGGGTCAGTACATGTATATATAACTGAATAAATCATGATTAAAGTGAGATTTGCTGAAGCAATTCACTCGAAACAGGAACCTTGAGTTCTAGAATAGATATATGGTTATGCATAAGGCTTCTTGTTATTATATTTGGGTTGTCATTGTTTGATTTCTTTTGTCAAATAACTTGTTCTCTAGTTTTAGGGTTTATTCGTGAGAAAACTTGTTCAAATTTTATATTCTAAATGGATTTACTTCCCTTGGTAGATACTGGACGCATTTACACAGAACTTAAATATTGTTTAGTTATCTGAATCATATGGAAATCAGTTCATGCTAACAAAGTTCAATTTGTGCCAGGGCATCTTACATCGAAGAGTGATGTCTATAGCTTTGGGGTGGGTTTACTTGAAATGTTGACTGGACGAAGATCAATGGACAAAAACTGACCCAATGGAGAGCATAACCTGGTTGAATGGGCTAGACCACATCTTGTAGAGAGAAGGTTCTACCGGCTAATGGATCCTCGCCTTGAAGGATGCTTCTCGATCAAAGGTGCTCAGAAAGCAATTCAGTTGGCTACCCGCTGCCTCAGCCGTGACCCTAAAACAAGACCTCTTATGAGAGAAGTGGTTGAAGCCCATAAGCCACTGCCTACTCTGACGGACATGGCCTCTTCTTCTTCATACTTCCAAGCAATGCAAACAGAGCGTGCAGGGTCTAACTCGAATGCTAACCGGGGCATTGGAGTGCAAGTGGGGAACATACCAAGGAATGGAAAACCAACAAGAAGCGTCTCCATACCAAATGGTCCACATGTCTCACCATATCAAAACAACAATCCTAACCGGTCACCCAAGCCTAGTAACAATCCTAACCAGTCACCTAAGCCTAATGTCGATCCTGGTAACAATCCTAATAGGTCACCTAATCCTATTGACAATCGACCATAGCTGTTAGTTTAGATCAAACCTAAATGTTAAGCACCAAGAACAAAGAGTTATATTATCCTTTGTTTACCTCATTTTGTTACCGAAAAAGTCTCTGGTCAGAAATGGGATAGTTTTAAACATGAAAAAAAATTACCAAGGATAATTCTTTGGTCTTTTGTTGTGTTAATTAATCTCTCTCTTCCTCTCAATTTTGGTTTAACTAATACAGCTTATGCCTTTTGAGAAGCTGTGGCATCTTCACTGGTCCCATGAGAACTCCCCAAGCACTAGAATCTCGATGGTCCACACATGCACATGATATTTCCAGGAAGTGTAGAAATTGGAGTCAAGGAATTTTGGCCCTTTTTTAGCTTGGATGGAACCTGGAGAAAATTTTCAATACTGCCGGCTCAATAGAATTTCAAAAAATTAGGAAGTTATAAATTAAATCTCTTATAATTCACAAATATATTTACTAAATTGGTTTACTCAAAAATTGTTTTTTTACCAAGACATTTAGTTTCAAGAAATCACTTATAAATAAATAAACTAGCATTTATAATAATGAATAACAACAAAGGTAAAGAGAACACGAGCAGTACAGGTTTTTAATAAAAAGGTCATTAATTACAAAAAAAAAAAAAAAAAAAAAAAAAAAAGGTTAAAGAAAATGAAAAACAAAATTTTTCTGTTTTCAAGTAGCAAAGTTTAGGTTAATGACAGCAATGTTATAGGTCTGGAAGCCGAAGAAAAAGTTCAAGTTCATTATTTGCTCGACTTTAAAACTCTATTGATTGGATGAAATCCATTATTCTGTTAAATAAATTTTAGATATAGATCTAGAGTAGCATCTGAAGGGTTATCTTATATTATAACAAATAGACTAATATTAAGAAAAGCACTTGGTAAATAAGTTAAACAGCCAAAAAGAGAGAGAGAAGTTAGTTGAGACAGAGAAAGAGATATTAACACAACCACCACGTCCACCACCGCATTAAAGATCTGAAAGCATGAGAAAGCTAATACTTCCACATCCAAGAAATAATTCAACCACAACTAAGTCAATTCAGACAGGGAAAGAGATATAAGTCAATACTTTGGAATACATGTATAGATAAAGGGAGAAAACTGAAGTCTTGGGTTTGATTTTTGGTTAAGAATGAACGCGTTTCCACAAGAACAATAGATCAAACTAAACCACCCTACATGTCCATGGTAAGTAAGCTTCACGGTATAGACTGAGTCCTCTTTCGTTTACTATAATGTTTGATCAATGGGGTCTGGTAGATAATTTGTAGATAAAGATTGATAGGGAGACCACTGGAGTCTAGGGCTTTGAGAAGTTTTGCTTGGATGGAATCTGGATTAAATCGTCTACGACCAGCTAAACGTTTAAGATTCATGGAGTTGTTAGATTAATTAATAGAGATATGAGTTTGATACATGAACTCTGAGTCAAAGTCTTCTAATTAGACATACATTCATGATTGAAATAGACTAAGAAGAATACATTAACTTCAAACAATAATAACGAAATAAAACTGGTTCAAGTCTAGGAAATGGTTTCGGAATTAATGCGTGTACACGTTGAGTGTAAAAGTCATCCGTGCTGATTGAAGTACTATTATTGTGCCTGTCTTATTGTAGACTTTCATTTCAGAAAGGAAGTTAAATCTTTATGAAAAAACCCTTTTAGAAAAGTTGCAGGAAAAGAAGAGGACAAAGTATATATTACTAAATAATTTTTGGAGCAGAAACGATGAAGTACAACAATATTATTGGCCTTGATTACAATGCTTGATTCAGCACCTGGTGCTACAGACAGAAACTTGATGATTTTCTATACTTAATTGGTCTTGAACCCATGTAATGGAAAACAGAGTAAAAAGGAAATTCATGCTTAACAAAAGAAAAAAGATACAAAACAAAAGAAACGAGGAAATGTAGGCTAAATATCAAAAAAATGTTGCAAAACACAGAAACACCAATGAACTACATCCATGCTTAAGCATCATGTTCATCAAACAAATACATTTCTTGGTTTCTCAATTCTGAGATGGAAATTTCTCCAAAAGATTTTGCGAATGATGTTTTCTGCTTAAGAAATTCTTGAGACACACGCTTCATTGTAGGTCGAGACTTTGGCTTGGAACGCAAGCAGGCGAATGCTATGGTTGAAACAAGCACAATTTCCTGCTTAACTATTCGATTAACTGGAGGTGAGAGGCGAGAATCTAACACATCAATTAGCATTACATTTTGGGTAGATGATGATGATGATGATGATAAAGAGAGAATTTCTTCTGGATGCCTTCCCATTAATACTTCAAGTGCCACTACTCCAAAACTATAAACGTCGCATTTCTCCGTCACAACCATAGTATAAGCTAACTCTACAAGGGAAATAGAAACCTTAAAATGAAGTATAGAGATTGTTTAATTTAGGATGAAAAATTATTAATAATTAGTTTCTCCAAAAGTAATCCAATATTATTTATTATTTCATTCTTCTTTAGTTCAATTTAGTTATGAAGTAATTCAACTTTCAGGATTAAAAGGAGCCATAAATCTATAAGAAAAAAGATTAAAAGGAGAGAGTAACTAGATACTTTACCTGGAGCTATATATCCATAAGTGCCAGCTAACATGGTTCTATTTGATGAGTCAAGATGAAGAATTCTAGCCACGCCAAAGTCACCAACAAACGCTTGCAATTCTGAGTTTAGTAGAATGTTGTTGCTTGATATGTCACGATGAACAATTGATGATGTGCAATCATGATGCAAGTAAGACAAAGCATGTGCCACAGCTTTTACAATGTTTACTCTCTTAGTCCAATCCAACTCAAGAGCTTCATCATCATTCCGTAGAACACAAAACAAGCTTCCCCTCTCCATATACTCATAAATCAAAAACATGCATTTTTTGTGCAAACAATATCCATAAAGCTTGATAATGTTTCGATGTCGTAATTCGGACAGTACACGAACCTCGTTTTGGAAGCTGTTTAGGGAAGCTGACTCCTCAATTTCTAAACTATGAAGCTTCTTCAAAGCAACTACTTTACCTTGGGGTAGTTGCGCTTTATAAACACTGCCATAACCTCCAGTTCCAATGCAATATTTGATATCAAAACCCTCTGTTGCTTCAATTAAGTCTTCAAATGCAATTCTACCATCAAAGTTCCATATTGAGAATACATCTCTGATTTTGGATGCTCTTGTGGATGTGGACAATAGAGCTTTTTTATCCTTTCTTTTGAGGAAAAAAAATCCAAAAATCAGGATGGTAAGAATAGTGGTGATTGGCAGAATAATCATTATCAAACGAATGGAAGTAATTTTAGGCTTCTTTTCTGATGAAGAAGTATCGCAAGGAGTAAAACCGAAAGCTTCAGCACATAAGCCTTTGTTGCCTTTAAGTTGTTGGTGCAAATATTGCAGTTGATGTGGGATTGGACCTTCCAAATTGTTGTATGATAAGTCCAAGTACTCCCATGGAAAGAGAGAATCAGGGATTGTGCCAGAAAGGTTATTATTGGAAAGATCTAATTGAGCTAAATATTCTCCTCCAATCTTTAGTGGAATTCTTCCATTCAAATGATTATAGCTCAAATTTAATCTTGTCAACCTCATGGAACCCTTTATGCCAAAAGGAATGTGACCACTAAGTTTGTTATCAGAGAGGTCTACAAATTGAAGTTGGGGTAATTGGGTGAGCTCATCAGGAATTGAGCCGTTGAGTTTGTTAGAATTAAGGGCAAGATTGATCAAATTTGCTAAATAACCAAATGTTAAGGGAATAGGTCCAATCAAGTTATTCCCCCTCAAAAGTAATATCATAAGGTTCTTTAAATTCCCAATTTCTCGAGGTAGGGGACCACTGAGTTGGTTGGAATCAAGGAATAAATATTCTAAACTGGTTAAATTAGCAATGGTTGAAGGGATTTGACCATGGAATTTATTACGAGATAGGTCTAAAGAGCTTATTGAATTGGCTAAATAACCTATAATTGGCGGTATTGATCCAATCAAATTGTTACTAGACAGATCTAAAGCAGATAGTTTGATCAAATTACCAATAGATGAAGGGATTGCTCTAGTCAAAGTGTTACTAGACAGATCTAAAGTGGTCAATTTGGTCAAATTACCAATAGATGAAGGGATTGCTCCAGTAAAAAAGTTAACAGATAGAGACAAAGTGGTCAATTTGGTCAAACAACCAACCGATGAAGGGATTGGTCCACCGAGTAAGTTTAGTGACAAATCTAGTTCCATGAGATTGCTCAAGCTTCCAATTTCATAAGGGATAACATCTTTAATTTTATTTAACCAAAAAAAAAAAAAAAATTGTCAATTTGATTATACCTATTATTTGAAATGATAAAACAATAAAATAAAATCAATAATGTACCTGTAAGATGATTATTTGACAGATTGAGGAATTTGAGCTTTGAAAGTGCACCAATTTGTGATGGAATGCTTCCGTTGAGATCAGATGATGAAAAACTGAGACTCTTTAAGTTTGGAAAGCAAGAAAAGTTAAATTGGCTAAGCTCTCCTTCAACGCCATAACTATGCATAAATATCTCTATGATGTGCCCTGTTGAATCGCAAGTGATACCATGCCACTGACAATGATCTGAAGAATAATTTATTTCCGAACTCCACCAACTGGTGTTAAGTAGAGCTTCCTTTTCTAATTGTATTGATGATAATTCAGATGCTACAAGAAAACATGCAGTCAAAAGGGTAGCCCATATGAACACCACTCTAGAAGTGAAGGATGTGAACATCATGTTTAAAATCTTTTGTTTGATACTCTCTACCTGAAGTAAGTTTATATATAATATGTTTGAAGGTAGCCAAACCTCCATTTAATTGGTCTTGCCCAGGCGGAGTCAAAGTCTTTTTGGCTTTTTTGNCGTAGAACACAAAACAAGCTTCCCCTTTCCATATACTCATAAATCAAAAACATGCATTTTTTGTGCAAACAATATCCATAAAGCTTGATAATGTTTCGATGTCGTAATTCGGACAGTACACGAACCTCGTTTTGGAAGCTGTTTAGGGAAGCTGACTCCTCAATTTCTAAACTATGAAGCTTCTTCAAAGCAACTACTTTACCTTGGGGTAGTTGCGCTTTGTAAACACTGCCATAACCTCCAGTTCCAATGCAATATTTGATATCAAAACCCTCTGTCGCTTCAATTAAGTCTTCAAAAGCAATTCTACCATCAAAGTTCCATATTGAGAATACATCTCTGATTTTGGATGCTCTTGTGGATGTGGATGTGGACAACGGAGCTTTTTTATCCTTTCTTTTGAGGAAAAAAAATCCAAAAATCAGGATGGTAAGAATAGTGGTGATAGGCAGAATAACTGTAATCAAACGAGTAGATGTAATTTGGGGCTTCTTTTCCGAGTCATTTTCTATTAGAAAAGATGAAGGTGGTGGAGGAGTATAGCAAGAAGTAAAACCGTAATCTGCACCACATAAACCTTTGTTGCCTTCAAGTCGCGGATTCAAATATTGCAGATGAAGTGGGATTGGACCTTCCAAATTGTTGTACGATAAGTCCAAGTAAGCTCCTGAAGACACCCAATAATGAAGCTCCCATGAAAGAGAATCAGGGATTATGCCAGAAAGGTTATTATTGGAAAGGTCTAATTGAGATAAACTGCTTCCTCCAATCGTTAGTGGAATTCTTCCACTCAAATTATTATAGCTCAAATTTAAGCTTGACAACTCCACACAACTATTTATGCCAATTGGAATGTGACCATTAAGTTTGTTATCAGAGAGGTCTACAAATCGAAGTTGGGGGTAATTGGGTGAGCTCATCAGGAATTGAGCCGTTAAGTTTGTTAGAATTAAGAACAAGATCGGTCAAATATGCTAAATAACCAAATGTTAAGGGAATAGGTCCAATCAAGTTATTCCCCCTCAAAATTAATTTGGTAAGGTTTTTTAAATTCCCAATTTCTCGAGGTAGGAGACCACTGAGTTGGTTGGAATCAAGGAATAAATATTCTAAATTGGTTAAATTAGCAATGGTTGAAGGGATTTGACCAGTCAAAGTGTTACTAGACAGATTTAAAGTGATCAATTTGGTCAAATTATCAATAGATGAAGGGATTGCTCCAGTCAAAATGTTACTAGACAGATCTAAAGTGGTCAATTTGGTCAAATTACCAATAGATGAAGGGATTGCTTCAGTCAAAGTGTTACTAGACAGATCTAAAGTGGTCAATTTGGTCAAATTACCAATAGATGAAGGGATTGCTCCAATCAAAGTGTTACTAGACAGATCTAAAGTGGTCAATTTGGTCAAATCACCAATAGATGAAGGGATTGCTCAGTCAAAGTGTTACTAGACAGATCTAAAGTGGTCAATTTGGTCCAATACCAATAGATGAAGGGATTGCTCCAGTAAAAGTGTTACTAGACAGATCTAAAGTAATTAATTGATCAAATCCTAATAGAGAAGGGATTGCTCTAAAAAATTGTTACAGACAGAGACAACGTGGTCATTTGGTCAAACAACCACCGATGAAGGGATTATCCATTGAGATTGTTTGATGACAAATCCAGTTCATGAGATTGCTCAAGCTTCCAATTTCTAAAGGGATAACACCTTTAATTTATTTAACAAAAAAAAAAAAAAAAAAAAAAAAAAAAAAAATTGTCAATTTGATTAGATGACCTATATTTGAAATGATAAAACAATAAAATAAAATCAGTACGTACTGTAAGTAATTATTTGACAGATTGAGGAATTTGAGCTTTGAAAGTGCACTAATTTGTGATGGAATGCTTCCGTTGAGAACAGATAATGAAAAACTAGACTCTTTAAGTTTGGAAAGCAAGAAAAGTTAAATTGGCTAAGCTCTCCTTCAACGTATAACTTTCATAAGTATCTTTATGATGTGTCTTGTTGAATCGCAAGTGATACCAACCACTGGCAATGATCTGCAGAATTTTTTTTAAGTAGAGCTTCCTTTTCTAATGTATTGATGATTATTCAGATGCTAAAGAAAACATGCAGTCAAAAGGGTAGCCCATATGAACACCATCTAGAAGTGAAGGATGTGAACATCATCTTTAAAATCTTTGTTTGATACTCTCTACTGAAGTAAGTTATATATAAAAGTTTGAAGCTAGCCAAACCTCCATTTAATTGGTCTTGCCCAGGCGGAGTCAAAGTCTTTTGGTTTTTGCCAGGAACGATCTGGAGCAAGTTGTCGATTGTGACAATTCTTTAAATTAAATATTTTATAAGAATATTAATAAATTTCTTTACTCAGATTTTTATTTATCTAGACATGCATATTTATATTTGGAAAAAAAATACAAATGAAATAACAAGGACTTTATAACAATAAGAACAATTGAATACATATATTAACTTAAAAAAAAAAAAAAAAAAGGTTAATTAAAGAAGAGAAATCTAAAATTTTATGTCACTTTTCATTTTGCTCTACGATTTTATTTAATCTCAAAATAACGTTTTTTAATTTTTATTTTCTTATAACATCAAATATAATATTCATTTTGTTTGAGATCTACAAGTATTTATCCTTAATCATTTCATTTAATACTGTAGATAACTAACTATATACTATAATAAATAATAAGCATTAAAAAGAGCATAAATGTAAAAATATTAATTTAACTCATTAATAAATAATAATAAATATCAGACTGCTTATAACCTTTAAGTTGATATAGTTTACTTAACATTTCACAGTTAAGTAAAGGAATCATAAATTATAGTTCACTATAACATAAGTTAAGAATAATAAACATCCAATAATTGTATGATAAACCATATCAAATAAAGAAAATTCTACAATAGAGATTTTAGGATTTTCTTACACGACTGGAATAAAATAGGGTCTTTTTGGCCAAATCATACTTACTCTCTTTTGATTGTTTGGTCACTACGAAATTCGTTTCTTTGAATTTTCCCATATTACAAATAGCTAAAGCTAGTCGGGCTAAAAATATAGAGTCAATGAATGACGTTTGATTTAAAAAAAATGAATTTCCGAAATGTTTAATTTTTATTGAACAATAAAATGTCTTCTTTTATGAGAGAACAAATTGTACATATGTTTTGGAAGAACTTTTTCAGAAACGATCAGCTTTCTGAAAACAGTTTTTAATCAAGTGTTTATGAAAAAGAAAAATGAAAGGGAAAGTGAAAAAAGAACTGGACTACAAAACAATAACCAAGCAAGCATGTATTTACTCAAGATAATCTATAATATTAGCAATGGAAATTTATAGCTAAAACTGTTATTGTAGCCTCAGAGTAAGCTGTACGATATAATAGGGACCAAATCCGACTTGAGTGTACATAAAAAGCCTTCCAATTCATTTTCTTCTTGTTTTTACAAACAACATCAATGTGTGAACTAGAAAATTTAGCCAACAGCAGTCCATAATCTTTTGGCTTTTTTATATGATGGAATCATTTACATGCTGTTTAGCTATGGAAAATTGGAAAGTAATTAGATAAATAATTAATCATCCAGCATGAGCTTCGCGTCATAGTAATTAACGTAAACGTGGAGCAAGTTGTCAATTGTGACAATTCATTATAATTTAATAAACTTTTATAAGAATATTAATTAAATGTGTCCATTCAAATGTCATATTTTTAACTAGACATGCAAATTTATTGTTCGGAAAAGAATGACAAATGAAGAAACAAGGACTTTATAATAAATAAGAACAAATGAATACTATATATTAAACTTAAAAAAAAAAGGGTAATTAAAGAAGAGAAGTCTAAAATTTTATTGTAAATAGATTTTGTTAATAATTATTCATGAATCTTGGATTTGGTAAAAACAAGAAAATGAATTGATTTCTGGGTTCACCCTTGTAAATGCGTAAATTGTTTGAGATCTTTAAGTATTTATCCTTAATCATGTTATTTAATACTGTAGATAACTAGATATTTACTTATATTAATAGGCATTAAAAAAAACGTAAACGTAAAAGAATTATTAATTTAACTCATTAATAAATAATAATAAATATCGAATTGCTTATATACCTTTAAGTTGATATAGTTTACCTAGCATTTGACTGTTAAGTAAATGAATCAATAAATTATAGTCTATTATAGCCAAAAGTTAAGAAAAATCAACATTCAATATTTGAATGGTAAACCATAACAATCAAGGAAAATTTGATGATAGAGATTTCGAGATTTTTCTACACGGTGTGAATAAAATGGGGCATTATTGCCCGAATCATACTCACTTTCTCTTTGGACTTTTTTGGTCACTATGAAGGTTGTTTCTTTGAATTTTCCTAAGTTACTGATAGCTAAAGCTCTAGTCTAAGGCAAGAAATGTGTAGTCCACGAATAATGTCTTTATTTGAGTTGCCTCGCCCCAGGCCAAATCAATTTTTGTCCATTACTTCTAACTCTTAATTATTGGTGTTTACTAAAACAAGTTTGATTCAAACAAACATGGTGATATTTCACAAGACTTACTTGATGTGATTTTCTAAAGATCATGATTGGTGGTGATAATATTCCACAAGGCAATCAATGCAATCAAATAAAAGAGAAACCAGCAAGCCGAACCTCTATTATTATTATTTTTTTCTTTTTTTAATATCATATAAGGTCCTAATTCCTCTTGTTTTTATGATTTCCGACAAACACATTATATTCCCACTAAGGTAAAAAGAGTTAGATTTAAGAGCTTTTGAATGACTGAAATTGAATCTAAGTTGTGTCATGTTCAAAGTGCATTAAATTTGCAAATTACATTGAATATCAACTATCCAAAAGTAATTAGATTTACAACCTAAACATTATGTATGTAAAAAATATGGAGCTCTTGAACCTTCGCCAAGATGAAATAGACAACTAAAATTAAAGTCTTTTGGGTTTAACTTTTAGTTAACAGGAAACACGGTTTCCACAAGAATAATAGACCCAGCTAAAATATCCTCCAGGGCAAGCATCACAGTATAACAGAGGTTTTATTCCATTTATTTATTCAAAAGGGAAGAAGAAATATAACATAGAATTTCAAAAATTAGGACGTTATAAATTAAATCTCTTATAATTCATAAATACACTTACTAAATTTCTTTACTCAAAATTAAAGCTCATGCAGAATTCAACTGTTGAGTTGATTTCGACAAAGATACAAATGAGCGAGATTGTTTAGATGACCCAAAGTTGAAGGAATTGGTCCATTTTGAGCTCAATTACGCATGAGTTTATTCAATTAACCTGGAAAAGCTCTTGGAATATCGTCATACTATTAGATGGAAATCAATGAACAAAATTTAGCCACGGTGAGACGAGGTCTTCTGGTCTTTTTGCATATAATTATAGGATTCACTTATATGCCCGTGATTTTAAGGAAATTGTAGCCGAATATGTCCCCTGAGGACTCCATAAATAGTAGGAATTACAATGGCCACCTTAGATTTCCCTAAATAACAGGAATCAAGGCACTGGGTTTTTCCTTTTATACATTTTATAGCAGGAAAATACCTGGCCAAATCACTCCTTTCGTAGCATCATTTTTCCTTCAACTAGCTTGTGAAATATTTGTTTTCTGTTTTCTGTCTAATTGAATTCGTGAAAAGAATTTTTATTCATGAGGTCCTGCTACTTCCTGCCTCAACTATATAAGAAACTAATTCTTGCCCTCATGCTTTCCTGATACTGGTATTGGCACTACATTTAGATTAGAGAAAAAAAAATGGTAATTAAATAGGCTGACTTTATGGAGAAATAACCTTACTCTTGCATGATAAATTTATTATCTTCTTGTCTTTTAGATGCAGATGCAGGGCTTTCAGCAGGACAGATATCACTCTTTGGCATTATAACGGCAACAGTCATGAACAAATTCAGCAGGAATATGTCATCTTGCTTCTTCAATTCTCCACGATGAATTCTTGAATTTCTATTCCTGTATGTCGTGCACCACCTTGTACCCTCAGCAAAAGTTCGTCACCAACCTTCAGTGAAGTCACAGGTATAGCTGTTTTCTTTCCTCCATTTCCTGGGGGAAATAGGAGGGCAAGTTTCAAATCCATAAGACAAGGAAAGTAAATAATAAATCCAGAACTTTCATTAATGAAATTAATATCTGAATGAAACCTTGGCAGGGAGATATTAAGGCAACTGTTTCCGCATTTTGTAGAATTAAACTGTAATAAGTTTGATTATCTGATCCCTGCACCACCAGAGCATACAATGATATCATAAAAAGAAACCAATAATGATATAAGCCACTAGTTTTGAAGAATGAAGCATTAACATTAATTCATGTTATCACAAATCCTGGAAAGGACGAAAAAAAAGTTCTGATTATGCATAACTAGTGAACATGGAAATGGATTCTCAGCGCAATTAAAGCATCTCAGCAACAAAAATATTTCTAAGCACAATTTAATTGAAACAGTGTTTCTCATTTTCCACCTTCAATAGACTAGTATTCACAACCTATTCTACAAAATTATTCTTTCTTCAAGAAGCTTCAGAACTTCAAATTCTTCCGAGGAAGATTTTGGTTACTTTGTACCAATTGAGCCAAATGTGTCTGACAGATTTGGTTGTACTTATTACAGATTCTTCAGGTATATCAATTATATTTTTAAGAAGCTCCAAACTTAGGAAACAGTTCCTTCAAATTACCAAACGCACTCTTGTCGAATTCATTCATGCTCCTAAAAATTAGCCAATAAATTTTAAAATCATTAGAAGAAAACTCCATTTTGTTTAGAAATGGTATGTAAGACACAAACCTTTGCCTCTACAAGGATAAGAGGTCTAGACTCAATCTTCACACGACCAACAATTGCTGTTCGTTGCTGGCCTTTCTGATCCACCACAATCACTTCTTTGCCTGATTTTAACTCTGAAAGGTAGCAAGTTTTTCCGCCTGGAACAAGCACATACGCATGCACAGGTCCCTGAAAATTAAAACACAGCACTTTGTAACAGAACAATAAATATATGGAAGAAAATCAATTTCTTGAGTATGGAAAATCAATTTCTTCCCTTGAAAAGTTCCTCTGTCAAATATATGGAAGAAAGGAGTGAAATATTAACAAATTATCATGATACTTTTGGTTACATGTAGCATGAATCAAGCCTTTCTGCTTATCTAAAGGATGAACAGTCCCCATCATAACTTTGTTTACATCCTCTTTAACCGTCTTAAAAAACACAAACCACCAAGACTTTGTTTATATGTGGCATTAATGAACCGATTTCATCCACTGAAATTAATTGATTGAATAATGAATGTTAATTCATCAGTATATTATCTGCAGCAACTTGAAAGCCAAACTCACAGCATTGACTCGAAAAGGCCTGCTGGCAATGTAGTTTGACTCCAAGCACTCAGAGTGGACAAGGAAAAGTCCCCTAGCAAAGGATCCAACCTATAAAAAGTATTTGTGCAAATAAGAATGGAGCATAAAATATGATTAAATTAAACAAACCGCAAGATCCACTTGAAGAATGGAGGTTAGAAGCATACTAGAAGTCCTTCACCAGGTCTCATGAGGCTACAAAGATCCACACAAACTCGATCACCCATTCCAGCTACATCGACCCCAGTTACAGTGGCTTTGGTCAAGCTCAGGAGATTGCTAACTTCATTCCTTCTGTCAAAATATTCCTGATAATTTTGTCAAAGATAAGGAGCTATGCCTCACTTCCTGAGAAGCCTAGCCCAAGAAATAATTACCTTTAGGGCAAGAACAGCTTCAGCATCCTCAACTTTTAGTACAACTCCACCCAGGCCTTGCTCTAATGCCTACATACACAGAATTCACTATAAGTTTGAGGCACCCAAAAAAAAAATTATGAAGCTAAGTTTTTTCAAACAAAAAGTTAATTAAGTGGTTTGCAAAGTACAGTATTAAGAGATACCTCAAGAAAAATTTGGGCATCACAGGGAGTTTTTGAGATTGCAAATACAGTTTTTTGACTCCCTTGGAATGCTGCAACAATATTTTCCGCAGGTATAACCTATGAAACACAAAACCAGGGCGTAACCCAGTAGAACACGTAATACTTTGAAAGAGAAAAAGGTAGTCATATATTTCCAAAGTAAAAACATTATTAATTTCTTTCTTTACAAATAAAAGGCTAATGAAGAAGCAAGAGCAGTAGAGGGAGTTTGCCATGGTAACAAATAATGAAGAATGAATTATGTTTCCATTCATACATCTATGAATTTTATCACAAAGTGCACAAAAGATTATGTTCAGAAAACTGAAACAAGACAAAGCAATTTCCAAGTATCAACAGGAAAAAAATGAAAGCTTGATGTTCCACAACAAAAGCCACAAATGAAACATTACAGGTTAAATATATACATGCATTTCAAGACGGTCCCAACTACACATTATTACCAAAAACTTACTTTTGAATAAAAAGATCAAAAATAAAATCCAAATTACAATCAAGCTCTCCATTGCAGGCATCTGTGCGCTTTTATTTTTTTTAAATCCAAAGTTCAAGTTTGATGGAAGCTGCCTACTCGAACACAAAACTATAAGAACCCCTATTATTAAAGTTTCAGTTTGAATAGACAGCTTACTCTAGAAGTTGAAGTCCGGATTTTAAATGCGCTTGAGAAAATTCCAATTACAGTCTAGGAGGCAATATTGGGTGGCACCATCTCCTAATGGTCTAATAATCTCATTATCCACATTCCTCATCTAATCTCACAATTAAAGTCTCTGGGCATAATCTCACAATAAAGACAAGTTCATCTGATATTAATCAAAAAAGAAATTCAGCATACTTGCCAATCCAGCAAATCAATCACAATATTATCTGCCTGCTCATCTGACGGCTGAAGCTTCTGCAACTCTTGTGGCGTTGCAACCTCACAAATACTAGCAACCCTTCTCTCCACACTATCAAACACCTCCCCTTCTTTAACAAACAAAGGATCTATCAAAGCAATTGCTGTACATTCACCAACAAGGAAAATAAAAAAACAACTTCAAAACTCACTACCATACTCTGAAAAATGTCACAAACACGAATTAAGAAGTTAAAGCCCCAACAAATCATCACAAAACAACACTTTAATTGACCAATCTCATCAAAAACAAAACTTACTTGAATACTCTTATAGAAAACCAAGCTTTACTTGACCAATCTCTTAAAAAACAAGGCTTTACTTGACTAATCCTATTATAAAAAAGAAAAAAAAATTACTTGACCAATGTTTTGCGAGTTGATGATTCTGAGACAAGAAAAGAAAAGTGTTCCATCCTCTCTCAACAGCAGCAGTCATAACTTGCTGGTTCTCTGTCCATATCCAGACCCTCTTTGACTTCTCAACAGAACACATGGTGACACAAAAAGGGCTACTTTTAACTCTCTGAGAGTGAATGTTCCAAGAGTTTACTCTACTGAAAATATTCCATGGATCTGGACAATCATCGCTAAAATGAATTAGTAGAGCTTGTTAATGAAGATATTGTGCACGTGGGCATGGTTATTCATGTATGTACATGGATTTGTGAAGTGAAAAAACCTGTTTTGAAGGTGGAGCAGAAGACGAATTTGGAGGTTCCAAGGGAAGAAGACGGTAAAGCCATTTCTTCTGTTTGTTCATCTCGGAGGTGAAGTGATTGGTAGAGATTTGGATATGGATTAACCGGGCTTTTGTGTAGTGGGCTGTAAAGATGGACCAACTAGAAAGTCCAATTGACTGGAGTGCTTGAATCTTAAAAGAAGAAAACGGTAATTTGGGTAACTTACTCTAATCTTTAAATCAATTTCAAATACGTCATGATAACTCAGCAATAAGTTTTATCTAACTAATTGCGATTGTGAAAAAAATTAGTAAAAAAGATTTATCAACCTATCTTTATTATTCTTATTAAAAAATTATTTATTACCTTAATGAAAAATTTAATTTAGATGTAATGAGAATTATAGAAGAGATCATAAATAAAATATCAATTAAAGGCATTGCCAGGAATGTTCAAACCAACTTCAAGAAAAGCAGGTTCTGAAAGATTAACATTCCACAAGAAAATGTGCTAGAACAAGCATGGCAATGGCAAGGCCTCAATATCCCCTACCATTAATTTATTCATCTGTTGAAGCCTAGTGTTACAAGATCTCAAATCACAGAGACTAAAAGTGTTTCCTCAGTTTTGTCATCAAATATTAAGAATATGGAGCTGCAGTTGAAAACTTAAACAGCATGTGATGCTTGTAAGTCTTCCCTGGAGCCACAATAGTTGAAGGAAAATTGGGGTGATTCACTGAGTCTGGAAAGGCTTGAGTTTCCAGGCATAGTGCAGCATGAGGCTAATACACAAATCCACCTTTCCCCTTCACATTCTTCAGAAAGTTACTTGTATAAAACTGCATTCCAGGAGCATCTGTCAACAGCTCCATCANGCTTGTTAATGAAGATATTGTGCACGTGGGTATGGTTATTCATGTATGTACATGGATTTGTGAAGTGAAAGAACCTGTTTTGAAGGTGGAGCAGCAGAGGAATTTGGAGATTCCAAGGGAAGAAGACAGTAAAGCCATGTCTCGTGCTTGGTGCGGGTGGTGAAGTGGTTCGTGGAGATTTGGACTTGGATTAACTGGGCTTCTGTGTAGTGGGCTGTAAAGATGGACCAACTAGAAAATCCTAAAGAAGATAAGGGTAATTTGGGTAACCTACTATAATCTTTGGATCAATCTCAAACATAGAGCTGGGCAAAAAGCCCGCGCCCAAAAGCTGGTCCTACCAGGCACTGGATTGAGCCCTGAGGAGGGTGATCAAACCCAGTCCCTCCACCAGGCCCGAGTCTGGGACCGGTCCCAGCCCCAGGCCTGGTTAATTTAAAAGACACCCTAACCCAATTACCAAAACCATATTGTAAATAACCAAAACCTCCTTATAATATATGAAATACATAATAAATTTAAGGATTAAAAAATTTTACAATTATCGGGCCAAATTGAAATTTTTTTGGCCTATAGGACTGGTCCAAAACAAGTCAGGCCTGGGCTTAGGACCGGTTTGGGCCCCACATAAGTGATGGGCCTAAAATCGATCCCAACCAAGTTGGGCCCAAGCCTAGGACCGTCAAGCCCAACCTTTGGCCACCTCTAAACATAGTCTTTCTCATTAAGAAATTATTTATTNATTACAGGTTAAATATATATATATGCATTTCAAGACGGTCCCAACTACACATTATACCCAGAACTTATTTTTGAACTAAAAGATTAAAAATAAAATCCGAGTTACAATCAAGCTCTCCATTGCAGATATCTGTGCGCCTTCTTTTTTTTTTTTTTTTTTTTGGGTAATTCGAAAGTTCAAAGTTTGATGGAGGTTGCCTACAAGAACGCAAAACTTTAAGAACTCCTATTATTAAAATTTTCTGTTCCGCTAGAAGTTGAAGTCCGGACTCTTAATGCGCTTGAGAAAATTCAAATTACAGTCTAGGAGGCAATATTGGGTGGCACCATCTCCTAATGATCTCATAATCTCATTACCCACATTCCTCATCTAATCTCACAATTAAAGTCTCTGGGCATAACCTCACAATAAAGACAAGTTCATCTGATATTAATCAAACAAGAAATTCAGCATACTTGCCAATCCAGCAAATCAATCACAATATTATCTGCCTGCTCATCTGACGGCTGAAGCTTCTGCAACTCTTGTGGCGTTGCAACCTCACAAATACTAGCAACCCTTCTCTCCACACTATCAAACACCTCCCCTTCTTTAACAAACAAAGGATCTATCAAAGCAATTGCTGTACATTCACCAACAAAAAGAAAATTAAAAAACAACCTTAAAACTCATTTCTACACTCTGAAAGATGTCACAAACACAATTAAGAAGTTAAAGCCCAAACGAATAATTAAAAAACAACACTTTAATTGACCAATCTCATCAAAAACAAAACTTTACTTGAACACTCTAATAGAAAACCAAGCTTTACTTGACCAATCTCTTAAAAAACAAGACTTTACTTGACTAATCTTATTATAAAAAAAGAAAAAAAAATTACTTGACCAATGTTTTGCGAGTTGATGATTCTGGGACAAGAAAACAAAAGTGTTCCATCCTCTCTCAACAGCAGCAGTCATAACTTGCTGGTTCTCTGTCCATATCCAGACCCTCTTTGACTTCTCAACAGAACACATGGTGACACAAAAAGGGCTACTTTTTACTCTCTGAGAGTGAATGTTCCAAGAGTTTACTCTACTGAAAATGTTCCATGGATCTGGACAATCATCGCTAAAATGAATTAGTAGAGCTTGTTAATGAAGATATTGTGCACGTGGGCATGGTTATTCATGCATGTACATGGATTTGTGAAGTGAAAGAACCTGTTTTGAAGGTGGAGCAGCAGAGGAATTTGGAGATTCCAAGGGAAGAAGACAGTAAAGCCATGTCTTGTGCTTGGCGTGGGTGGTGAAGTGGTTCGTAGAGATTTGGATTTGGATTAACTGGGCTTCTGTGTAGTGGGCTGCAAAGATGGACCAACTAGAAAATCCTAAAGAAGATAAGGGTAATTTGGGTAACCTACTATAATCTTTGGATCAATCTCAAACATAGAGCTGGGCAAAAAGCCCGCGCCCAAAAGCTGGTCCTACCAGGCACTGGACTGAGCCCTGGGGAGGGTGATCGAACCCAGTCCCTCCACCAGGCCCGAGCCTAGGACCGGTCCCAGCGCCAGGCCTGGTTAATTTAAAAACACCCTGACCCAATTACCAAAACCCTATTATAAATAACCAAAACCCCCTTATAATATATGAAATACATAATAAATTTAAGGATTAAAAAATTTACAATTATCGGGCCAAATTAAAATTTTTATGGCCCATAGGATCGATCCAAAACAGGTCAGGCCTGGGCTTAGGACCAGTTTGGGCCCTCACAAAAGTGATGGGCATAAAATCGATCCCAACCAAGTTGGGCCCAGGCCTGGGACCGTCAAGCCCAACCTTTACCCACCTTTAAACATGGTCTTTCTCATTAAGAAATTATTTATTATCTCAGTGAAAGATTTAGTTTAGATGAAGTGATAATTACAAAGGAGATCATAAATAAAATATCAATTAAAAACTTTGCTCAGGAATGTTCAAATCAACTTCAGGAAAAGCAGGTTCTGAAAGATTGACATTCCACAAGAAAATGAACTAGAACAAGCATGGCAATGGCAAGGCCTCAATATCCCCCACCATTAATTTATTCATCTGTTGAAGCCTAGTGTTACAAGATCTCAAATCACAGAGACTAAAAGTGTTTCCTCAGTTTTGTCATCAAATATTAAGAATATGGAGCTGCAGTTGAAAACTTAAACAGCATGTGATGCTTGTAAGTCTTCCCTGGAGCCACAATAGTTGAAGGAAAATTGGGGTGATTCACTGAGTCTGGAAAGGCTTGAGTTTCCAAGCATAGTGCAGCATGAGGCTGATACACAAATCCACCTTTCCCCTTCACATTCTTCAGAAAGTTACTTGTATAAAACTGCATTCCAGGAGCATCTGTCAACAGCTCCATCACTCTTCCTGACTTCTTGTCGTGCACAATCGCTGCTCGCCTCAGTTTGCTTCCAGCACCACCATCAAGCACATAGTTAATGTCATAACCAGTAGGCAGCTTGGAGATTCTGCTGCCAACTTTGTGAGGCTTGAGGAAATCATAGGGAGTTCCTTTTACAGATGCAAATTTGCCGGTGGGAATCAATTTGCTATCGACAGGAGTGAAGTAGGAACCGAATATCTGGATTTCTTCAGAAAGGATATTGCCACTGTTGTGACCTCCAAGGTTCCAATACATGTGTTGTGCTAGATTTACAGGAGTTGCCTTGTTTAGAGCTTTGGCTTTCATTGTTACTTTCAGTTTTTTGTCTCCAATGAGAGTATAACCGACAGTGACATAAAGATCACCAGGGAATCCTGTGAAAGATTGGAGAAATTAATATGAATATTTACAAGTTATACACCAAAGCTGAAAATTACAACTTTATAGAGCAAAATATTATTAAAAATGTACAAATTACCTTCTTCACCATCAAAGCTATGATAGGCAAAGACAATTGTGGGAGCATCACCTTCATTCTTATACTTCTTCACTTTCCAAACAACATCACTGAAGCCTCTAAGGCCACCTACATGAATTTCATTTGGGAAATTATGAGACATCTCCTTGAAATAGAAGAAAAAGAAATATCAACAATTCAGAAAGCAGAATTGTACCATGAAGCATGTTTTTCCCTTCATTGGCAACAAGCTTATAATGGGTTCCATTTAAACTAAACTGAGCACCTCCGATTCTGTTAGCAAATCGTCCAACAATTGCTCCAATGTAAGATGTATCATTCTGCATAACAATGCAAATGCAACATTAGAAAATGGTGCTCACATGTGACAGATGGTCCCTTTTCAGTATACTATTCTAAGAAAATGGCCTTTGTCTCAGAAAAACCAGAAGAAACTTTCAGAGTAATAGAACTTTATCTTATTTTGGATGGCTGTATAGAATTTCACTGATGCTAATTAGAATATATATAATCTGGATAACTGCTTGAATCCATTCAACTTGATTTAGTGCTTAAAATTCCTTCACAGTTGGATTCAACAGTATTATGCATACCCAAATCTGAAATGGCTGATAGATCAGCTTCTTGCCGTCCATTACAAGTGAACACATTCATAATTATATATAAGAAAATTCACAGGTCATCATAAAGCATAAAGAATATACCAGAAAACCATTTTATAAACTACCCCACCAATAAAAAATCTTGTGGTACATCTAACAATGCAAATTGCGAAGGCAACATTGACTCTCAAGTTAAAGAGGAGAAATTTGAAGGGAATCACATGATTATAGTTCTTGGTTTCCATCCCTTGAGCTTATTATAAAAACAATAATCTGTTTTTTATTAGACAACTTGTTAATATATAAGCCATTGTTTCAGGAAATCAAAGACTTTTAGCTATTTTACTACTGAAAGCTAAAAACTGGTTGGGCTAAATGTTGTACATCATGTTTCTTTTCTTTCTTTATCTTTTTATATCTGTAATTGATATCAGAATGATCATTCTAGCTTTACAAAAAGCTTCACTGAACCAAATCATTTAAAGGGTAGGTACTTTTATGTATATTAGAAGAAGAAAAAAGAAACCTTGTAATTTCAAAATTCAACTTTTTAAATGTTGGTTTTCTTATCACTAGTGAAAGGTAAAAACAAAATAAGAACAAGAACAAAACAGCCTTTAAATAAACTAATTGGTTGATAAATCCAAAGCTTTGGGCACCCAGTTGACCAGATACTTTAAGATGAAAACAGAACAACTTTTGTCCCATATAGAAATTAGCTAGTACTGGTGCAGTTTTGCATACCAGCAACTTGTCTTTTATATGTGTTTGTTTATGAGTAAGAGAAGGAAAGAGAGAAGAAGAAAATGTGTGATCATCCTTTCAGTAATGAAGCTGAAGCCAAAAAAACAATGAGAAAATTACAAATAAAATGAGTACTCACCGTGTAATCCTTGACTGAATCATATCCAAGAGTAACATCAGCAAGTTTTCCTGAAAATTCAACACCAAAAGAATTCATAAACCCAGAACAAAACTCTTCAAAGAGACAAAAAAAAGGACTTTCAACAAGCATATGTACCATTCTTGTCAGGGAGAATGACAGAGATTATAGTAGCACCCCAGTTGGTGAGCTTCACAGATAAATTTCCCTTCTTTATTTCATAAAGTCCAACCCCTTTTGTGGCTGAAGAGCAATTAATGATGGGCGAAATTTTTCTATATATAGAAGAGTGACAGATAATTGTGAGAAGAGTAACAAAGTATTTTCACCTGGGGCTATATATCNCTTCAAAGAGAAAAAAAAAGGACTTTCAACAAGCATATGTACCATTCTTGTCAGGGAGAATGACAGAGATTATAGTAGCACCCCAGTTGGTGAGCTTCACAGAGAAATTTCCCTTCTTTATTTCATAAAGTCCAACCCCTTTTGTGGCTGAAGAGCAATGAACAACAAACCCAAAAGAAATCAAGAAAACAAAACTCAATAACAGAGGAATCTTCACCATTTTTTCTTAAAGAAAAAGATGAAAAATTATGAGGCCTGTTTGTTCTAAGAGTATGTATTTATGCTTTACGAGAGTTCCTATATGTACGTATACTTGAACGAGTGATCTATGAAAGTTGACACTGCTAAAGAATAATTATATCAGCTCTATGTCAAAGCAATAATCAATTGCATGTGCGGCAGCTTGGCCTGTTTTGCTTTTTCTATTGTGGTTTTGGCGGGTTATCAGGACTTGATGAAATCAACATTTTGCCAGACTTAGGCCTATTCATTCAATTAAATCCTAGAAAATAAACATACGAGTAAAGGGATATATCTATTCGAAGATTATTGATAATTTTAATCATTGATCATTAATGGACCTCCACATGGATATATGATATGAATCATATGATATTAACAACTTGTTATATACAAAACTTGATTATATTATGATAATATATAAGTTAAATTATGGTCTTATGTAGATTGACTAAACCTTATGTGCCCACATGAAATGGTCTTATACATTGTCAAATATATAACCTTACATGTAGAGGTATTGTTGGGTAATGGACACTAATCGAACTTTATGATGCAATAAAAAGACAGATCATATGTAATAGAATAAATTTGCCCATATAGGAGTATTTTATCTTGAGTAAGTCTGAGGTTCCAACCCAACAAGCCAGAACACCATAGCCTTGTCTTCAGTTCTTGTGGTAAATTGAAGTATTGTCAAGATTGGATTTGGATCCTCCAATTGGAACTTAATGGTACATAATCTCAAATCATACACACATCAAATATGTCCCTATAGCCAATACTAGAGAAGCTGGATAAAAACATCACAATGTTGGCAAAGAAGTACTAAAAGGGGTTAGATATTGAAACATCATCTGCATCTAAGAGCTATTGAAAACTTAAATTCCATAGTCTGCCTGTAATCACTCTCTGGAGGTATAACAGTTGTAGGGAAGTTGGGGTTATTTTACTGAATCAGGGAAGTTTTGAGTTTGAAGACGTGGTCCAGCATGAGTATGATAAACGAATCCACCTTTCCCCCTAACCACTTTCGGATAACTTCCTGTATAAAACTGCATACCAGGTGCATTTGTCCACGGCTCCATCTTTCTTTCCGACTTCTTATCGAGTACTGTCGCTGCCCACTTCACAAAGTCTCCCTCAGATTTGTCAAGAACATAGTTAATGTCATAGCCCTTAGGCAACTTGTTGAAGTTGTCTACAATGGTGTGTGGTTTCAGGAAATCATGAGGAGTTTCACTGTTACAATTTGGCCAGTGGGAATTAGTGTACTATCAACTGGCCTGTAATTAGAAGCAAAGATTTTGATTTTTTGATTAAAAATATCGCCACTGTTGTACATGTATTGTGCTAGATTTACAGGAGTCGCCTTGCTTTTAGAGCTGGCTCTCATTGTTACACTCATTTGATTTTCTCCATAGAGAAGGTAAGTCGTAGTAACGAAGAGATCTCCAGGGACTCCTATGGAAAATTAGAGAAATGTAAGTGTAAATGTGATGGATAAATTCTTCAAATCATGAATAATTAATAATTATGCAAACCTTCTTCACCATCGGGGCTTCCATAGGATCATATCCAACAAGAATATCATCCAGCTTTCCTGGAAATCAACAAGAAAACAATTAAACCAACCCAGAAAGCACTGAGCAAACACAACAAATATTTGACAAACATATATACCATTCTTATCAGGGAGAAGAATAGAGACAATAGAAGCACCCCAGTTGGTAAGCTTCATAGAGATATTTCCCTTCTTGATTTCATATATTCCCATATATCCAGGCTTATAAATTTCATTATTGGGATCAAAATTTGCTACAGAACTTTGAACCACAATCCCAGTTGGTAAGCACATCATGTTGCTTCCTTAATCAGATTATCGGTTATCTCTGCTCTTTTCTTCAATCAGGTTGTCGATCATCTCCAAAAGAGCGTGTTATCTTATTGAATTTTCTCTTATTTAATACACATATACATCAAACTATTCAAGTATGTTAAATCAAAATGCTTGAAATAATTTAAGATGTTCAGTTGATATGTATCAAACGTTTGAGTGCTGTACAGAAAACCTTTTGAACAATATGTATATTCAACTGTTTGTTCGGCTTTAATGCACCGAAGACATCAGAATTTTTGGAATAAAATTTTGATAGCTAATAACTTTTTCTTCTTTTTGGGTTAGATTCTTCTTATTCGAGTCATTAATTTCTTCTTCTATGAGAGATAAATAATCAGGACCAATTCAGAACATTGCACATGATGTATCAAACCATGTTCAAGAAAGCAGCCTGTGAAAGCCTACAAGAACGCCAACAAACAAGACCAAATATTTCAATGGCAAGAAGGGTTGAGGCTAAATATTTTTTGCTATATTTTTATTAATTCATTGGGTTGGAACATAATGGTACATAATCTCAAATCATACACACTCGAATTGTAATACACTATAATCAAAGTTTTGTCAGAAAAAGTACTAAAAGAGAGGTTAAATATTGAAACATCATCTACCACACTAAGATGATATTGAAAATTTATAAACCATTATATGCTTGTATGTCTTTCCTGGAGCTATAATTGTTGAAGGGAAGTTTGGGTGGTTCACAGAATCTGGGAAATGTTGAGTCTCCAGACATAATGCAGCATGAGCACGATACACGAACCCACCTTTCCCCTTAACTTCTTTAAGCAGATTACCTGTGTAAAACTGCACACCAGGTGCATTTGTCGTCAGCTCCATCTTTCTTCCGGATTTCTTATCAATCACTATTGCCACCACCTTCATGTTTTTTCCCTTACCGCCATCTAGAGCATAGTTAATGTCATAACCTTTAGGGAGCTTGTTGATGTAGTCGCCAATGGCGTGTGAGTTGAGGAAATCAAAGGGAGTTCCTTTTACAGTTACAATTTGGCCAGTGGGAATTAGATCACTGTCAACTGGTGTGTAATTCGAAGCAAAGATTTGGATTTCTTCGGAAAGGATATCACCACTGGTGTGTCCACCAAGGTTCCAATAGGTGTGTTGTGCAAGATTAACAGGAGTGGCCTTGTTTTCAGCTTTAGCTTTCATTTTTACAGTCAGTTGATTGTCTCCAGAAAGGGCGTAAGTCACTCTGACATGGAGATTGCCAGGAAATCCTATAAAAGATCGGAGAACAAGAATCTTAAAGTGATGAATTAATGCAAAAATAGAGAAAGAAGAGCAAGAATATCAAAATACTAACCCTCTTCTCCATCAAAGCTGTGATATTCAAAGACAATGTAGGGAGCAGGACCTTCATTCTTATGCTTCTTCACATTCCAAACAACATCACTGAAGCCAATTTTCCCACCTATAAGAATCCATTAAGCAAACGTAAGTTTTAATTTCTCTTGAAATAGCAGCATTATTGTAAGTCGAGAAAACATATTTCTGAACAGCAGAATTGTACCATGAAGCATGTTTTTCCCTTCATTAGCAACCAACTTATACACAGTTCCATTTAACTTAAATTGAGCACCTCCGATCCTGTTAGCCACTCTTCCAACAATCGCACCAAAGTAAACTGTATCATTCTGCATAACAGTGCCATATGTGTTACAGGTTAGATAGGATCGGCCTCTTGAAGTCAAAAAGAAGAAATGTAAAAGGAACCACACAGAAATTTGTGGCCATTTTTTCTTCTTCCTAAAATTCAGCCACTTGTACCAAAATTTAAGGCTTTAGATAAGAGAAAATTGACCAATAGTTGCAGATTGGTGGTAGGTATAAGTGTTGTACATCAGATTATTGAAGTTTGCTGATTAATTTAGATTTTATATCTGAACAATCAATCATTCGAAGTCTTAGTAATGTTGATGATATATTTTAACATAGAAACCTATGCATAAGACAAATTGTACAGCAAATATTAGGTATAGCATATTTGTCCAATTTAGAAAACAGCTGACACTGGCACAATCCTGCGTGTGAGAGAGAGAGAGAGAGAGAGAGAGAGAGAGAGAGAGCAATGTGCAACTCTCCAACACAAAATGCCTGACTCAACTAAATCAAATTCAAATCATGGAATATAATGGGTTGTTTCGCTAAAGACTTTCTCAAAATCAAGAACAGATTACAAAAATGAAAGAAAATCTCACCTTGTAATAATCTACAGAATCATATCCAAGAACAACATCATCAATCTTTCCTGAAAATTCAACACAAAGAACAACTGACAGCATAAGAACACAACATCTTCGAGAAAGAAAAACAAAACCAACCCAGAAAGCAAAAAAAAAAAACTCCAGAACACAATCAATCAAAAGAGAAATCAACATACCATTCTTATCCGGCAGAAACACAGAGATAATAGTTGCACCCCAATTGGTAAACTTCAAAGACATATTCCCCTTCTTGAGCTCATAAATGCCAATCTTTTTATCATCAAAGCGCTTACCAGGACCTTTATCATGATCCTTAGCAGCTACAGAAACATGAACAACAAACCCTAAAGCAACCAAGGCAAGGAACAAGAGAGAAATCTTCGCCATTATTGTTAATCTTATTAGTTTGGTGTCTCTAAGTGAATGTCTCAAAGCTTTATGTGGCTTTGCAAATTACTATTTTTACATGGTTATATATATAGTAATAGAGACATTAATGGATGTTCATTGAAAGTTGACACTGATAACTGAAATTAACACAATAGTAAGTTAGACAGTTAGATATCCAAGATAATAATATGAATGAATTGAAGTTTTTTTTGGTTTTGACTTGTCAAAGCCACACAGTTGTGTACCAAGTTTCTTCATTGTCTTGTTCATTGATGGGCACTTCATAAATTATTTTTGATTGCATAGTCAATTGGTTGGATAAGACTGATAATATATGAAATTAAATAGGATGCTTGTTATGACTTGTATGGTCTCATGAATTGTCCAAATCTTATGTCATACGGTCAAGAATACACTAATTAAAAATTAAGATTTAATATTATTGTTACAAAATCTCATATAACTGAAGTGATTTGATTGACGTTGACGGAATCAAAACTGATAGATGCATAATTAATTAAAATCAACAAGATAAATGAAGTAAATGACAATACACTTTTCAAAGTGGTTGTGTTGGTGCCAAAATCCTAAATCGGTTAGGAGACGAGGGTTTTGGTTGCTTATATAGTACAAGGATACCCTTATCACCCAGAGACACTTTTTTTAGACAAAACCGTGCGGATCCCAGAGTCCAAAACGTATAATACCTCTAGAAATCTACCTATCATGTATCTAAATCCGACATACATCAACAAATATGATTAACCAATTAGGTAAAACCACAAAGTTGAGTGAAGAATCTTATGTCATATTGTCAATAGGATAATATTGTGAAAACTTATGGAATATGACTTGTTTTGACTAATATTGTGTCATGGATTATCACATATACACCTTTCCAAGATGAAAACTTTTAGTATGAATTTATTGGCTAAATGGGTTGATTTTCTAATGGCATTGAGTTTAGTAAGTCAATGTAGAAATAAAAAAACTATAACGGGGAATGAAAGATTGTGAATTATAAAATGTGATTCAAACATTTCGGTTTCTATCTCCTTAACTAAAAAATTTGGGCCAATAACCGTGAAAGTTTAATATATGGACCTGATTAGATGAATAATTGGCCCATGAGCATGGTCTAATTGATAATTGGACTCTTAGTGGGCAAACTTTACCTGCAAATTCAGAGGTTCGAATCTCACTGAAAGCAGCTTGTGGCCAAAGGCATTTACTCGAGCCCTGATCGGGAATTAATCTCATACCTTCGCGTATGGGGACATCTCAAGGCTTTCACAAAAAAAAAAAAAAAAAAAAAAAGAAGAAGAAGATTGTCCTCCAAAAGTTGTGAGCCCTAAGTCATTCATTGGATCTTAATTGCAATATGATTCTCATTCTATTTAAATGCTCTAGACACAAGCCTTTCAGAACACATCAAAATATAATTAATATCTACATTTAGCAAGCACGTTAAGTACATTATAATACGTCTAGATTTTGGGGTTCACCAAGTCAAAGTAATAGTAAACTAAAGGCCACTAAATCCCTTCATATGATTTAAATACACTAACAATTTTAAGTCTTTACACACTTAAAAGAGATCAGAGAACCACTTAAGTTCCACTTCAATGGCACCTACTAGATGCCTCAGCAATCTCTCTTTCCTTCTCATTTGCATGTTTTCTCTTACCTCCACAGCTACTGCAAATTACACTGTGAATCTCTCCTCTAACTCTCTATATTTCACCCAGGCTTGTACTACCCTTTTTAAGACAGATACATAGGCTGACATTTTGATTTTTTAATTCCATTTTCAGGGAAATGAACAAAAGGCTGCACAAAATTGGCTCAACCATGGAGGAGACTTGTATAACAGAAGATATGCCAACAAGGAGAAAAACATCAGCCCAAAAACAGTTTACAGACTAAATTTGAAGTGGAAATTTTACACAGGGGGCGATGTAACTGTAACGCCTGCAGTTTTTGATAACACTCTTTATTTCCCAAGCTGGAATGGATACATCTATGCGGTGAAAGCCAATGATGGAGCTCTTGTTTGGAAGAAGCACTTGCAAACTCTAACTGGCTTCAACAACACAGGTTTCATTCTTAATGTTAACTCAACAGTGTCAAGGTCAACTCCAACCATAGCTGGAGATTTGCTTCTCGTTGGAATCTATGGACCTGCTGTTGTTATTGCTCTCAAACGATTGAATGGGCAGCTTGTGTGGTCAACTCGCCTAGATTACAATGGCAGAAGTTTTATAACCATGTCTGGAACTTATTACAAAGGGTTAGTCCTCTGCCATTTTTACCTTACTCTCAATTTGCTTTCAAATTTTGTTGAGAATTCCGAGGTCAAGTTCAAAAGCAGTCTATTATTATAGTCAAATATGAAGCAATAAAATTTCCATATGTGGATAAGATTATTACAGCAGAACCATGGAGTCATCCAGTACCTAACCTGACATTAATATAATAAGCTGCATAACAACAGGCTTCACTTGTCTCAAGCTCCATAGTTTATGGGCAACTTGACCTTCAATCTGCATTTTTAATGATGATAATAGATGCAACTTACAGAATAAAATAACTTGCTAGCCATATTCAACTATATCCAAAAATCAAGATTCTTTACTAAATAAGAAAATGGAAGTCTCAAAGTAAGAAAACTTGTGGTACAGGGCTTTCTATGTTGGAACATCTTCACTGGAAGAAGGCCTTATTGTTGAGCTATGCTGCAACTTCCGAGGCAGTCTTGCGAAATTAGATGCAAAAACAGGCAAGATCCTGTGGCAAACCTTCATGTTGCCTGACAATTTCGGCAAGAAGGGGGAATATGCAGGGGCAGCCATTTGGGGAAGCAGCCCATCGATTGACCCAATTAGAAACCATGTCTATATAGCCACAGGGAACCTCTATTCAGCTCCACTTCGCGTACGCCAATGCCAAGAAGAGGAAAATAATCAAACGGTCCCAACTAGTCCTGACAAGTGTATTGAACCTGAAAACCACTCAAACTCTATCCTGGCACTTGACTTGGACACTGGCAAAATTGTGTGGTACAAGCAATTAGGGGGCTATGATGTGTGGTTTGGAGCTTGCAACTGGCATTTAGACCCTCGATGTCCTCCTGGACCGAGTCCTGATGCCGATTTCGGAGAGGCACCATTGATGCTTACCATGTATCTCAATAGAATCAAGCATGATATTGTAGTTGCTGTTCAAAAAAGTGGCTTCGCTTGGGCTCTAGATCGCAATAATGGCAGCCTCGTCTGGTCTATGGTATTGAAAACTGTTTTAAATTTTTTTCAACTTACTTCTATCAAACACATTTAAACAAAAATCTGTATTTCTACCCTGTATCCTGAAAGTTTATCTTTCTTCACTTGTTTAGTGATCTTATCTGTTTTTAATCAGAGAAATGTACTTTCCATTGTAGGAAGCTGGACCGGGAGGGCTAGGTGGAGGAGCAATGTGGGGAGCTGCCACAGATGATAAAAGGATTTACACAAACATTGCCAACAGCCAACACAAGAACTTCACTCTGAGACCATCAAAGAACAACACAATTGCGGGTGGATGGGTAGCAATGGATGCTAAAAACGGCAGTGTCCTGTGGTCCACAGCCAACCCTAGCAATGCCACCGCCCCTGGACCAGTTACCGTGGCCAATGGAGTTGTATTTGGTGGATCCACATATGCCCAAGGACCCATCTATGCAATGAATGCCAAGACAGGAAAAATATTGTGGTCATATGATACAGGAGCCACAATTTATGGTGGTGTTTCAGCGAGCAATGGATGTGTTTATATGGGTAATGGTTATAAGGTTTTTGTTGGATATGTAAATCCAAACTTTACTAGTGGATCCTCTGTGTTTGCCTTCTGTGTCTGATGACACAGCTTGTACAACGTGATAAAAAAAAACAATCTCAATTGTGTTTATAATAAGAATTAATCAGAAAAAACAATCCAAGACATGATGAAGATATATTGTAATTATAATTCTTAATGAAAATAAAATAACTAAACTGACTCAAACTTAAATCTGATTATAACAGTAGTCGTTGTTATAATAAGGCTGTGGCTCCGCCGCCTGCCTCGGCCGCTGTTGAAGGATTCTTGGATCCTTCATTTTCTTCATTGTTCCCGTCACCATCTCCGTCAGCGTCACTAAGTTTGGTAACACTCACCAGTTGTGCATGCCCAAATTAAAATTAAATCAAAATTCGAACTCAATACACTGCTCTGCTTCAATTTTGTTAGTCCAAGGAGAAGAATAAAGAATTATTTATTGATTGGAAAGGGGAAGTTCCTCAACTATTTCAATTTTATCTTTATACATGTTAAATTTGCCATTGGAAAGCATTTCAGAAAGATATAAACCTGCAGCAATGTCTATGATAACCAGTGGGTTGGGCTTCTTATGGGGATTGGCATTCTAATTTTCTGGACTTAAAATGGGCTCAAGATTGTGTAATTGGAGGATTATTACTATCTGCACATTACCCAACCTGTATGGATTTTGATATGAATAGACCATTTTTGTAATTTTGTATATACAATAGATTCGTAGACAATAGTTATTTTTATTTTTTTGTTATTCATTCAGAATTCGATACCACAAAAGTTTTTTTTCTTTTTCTTTTTTTGGGTTAAGATTAAGAGTTACCGACTTTAATAACACTTTCCCACTTATATACTTTTAAAATATTATTTTATTATCCAAATTTATATTCCTACAGTAAACAGAAAGTAAATTTGATCCAGACTATTGAGGCTTTTAAAGATAAGAGACTAATAAGCCTTTTAGTGTTGGAATGTTGAATTTTAGTAATTGAGATTTATCAGAATTTGACTTGAGAGAGATAACTATGCAAACCATAATCGTTCGATTGCCGGCGATTGGTGGGATTGACGAAAATAGAATTTGAGAGGTTTTGGTGAGTGATAATCAGGGAAGAGAATAGTGATTGACCTAATGGTGTAAGGTCACAATAATATCATCATATCGGAATCGAAAATAGAATATAAAATCGGATAATAAAATAGTATTTTAAAAATTTAAAGGTAGAAAAATGTCATTAAACTATTATTTGGGTGAAAAAAAAAATTCGTTTATTCTAAAATTAATAAATAAGAATTAACGTTATTTATTAAATCTAACAGAAAAATAACTTGTGAGTTGTGACAAGCCAGCACGAAAAAAATATATATAGAAACACTTAAAATCCCCAAATTTTTGCCTCAAATCACCCAAGTCCATGAATTTCAAAAAATATCAGTTAGTCCTTCACAGCTTCCCTCTATTGCCCTTAACTCAACTGGGGAAAATTTTGCCCTTACGTTTAGCCGTTCTTGAAGGTAAAGAAAAGAGCGAAAAAAATTTCTCCTTATTCTATGATTATTTGAAGCTTCTTATATGAAACTAATTTTCCAACTGGCTTCATATGCAAGAATATTTTTCTTGGTGTAATAGCACGAATTTTTCATGTTCATTTGCTCCTAACACCAGTTAGCGCAGGTGTCTTCTTCTTCTCCTCTACTCTTCAAGCTGGTGAGTGAAATCTACATACTTAGCAAAACCTTCAATACATTGTTATTAATAATACTTTTCACCGATTACAATGTGGGGTTTTGTGTATAGAAGGCTAGCATATGCACAAGTTTTACCAAATATTTATAGGTGTGTCGTCCAAAATTTAGGCACTAATCATGTGGATTTGTGTTTGAGTTTGTTGCCCACTAGCATTCGATCATTCTCCACCAAAATCGAACAAGATAGAAAGGATTACTTATTTACTGTATCATACCTCATAAACTCATGTGGGTTGTCCCCAGAAATAGCAAAATCCGTCTCCAAAAGAATCCAGCTTCAATCTGCTGAACAACCAGATTCAGTCCTGAAAGTTCTAAGAAACCGTGGATTTACGACTGCCCATATAACCAAACTTGTTAGACTGCGCCCTGGTTTACTTTTAGCCAATCCTGAGAGGTCAATTTTGCCTAAATTTGAGTTTTTCAACTCTTTCGGGATCACAGATGCTGAGCTTGCGAGTGTTTGCTCTTCAAATCCGACTATTTGACTTGCAGTTTGAAAAATCTACTCATTCCTAACTATAAATTCCTCAAAATGTGCTTCTCTGATGCTATGTTGTTAAATCTTTTACAAAAAAATCATGGCTCTTTCATCATGATTTGGCAAAGACTGTGTCTCCAAACTTGCAGTCCTGAGAGAACTTGGAGTGCCTGAGCATTTTGTTCCATTGATTTTAACATGTTATGCCGCTAAAGTCCTCCAAAAACATGGGAAGTTCGACAAAAACGTCAAGAAGGTTATGAAATGGGTTTTGATCCTCAGAAATGTGGTTCATCCATGCGATGCAGGTGTTTGTCTCAATGAGTCAATCAACTTTGGAACAGAAATTGGACATTTTCAGGGGTGGGGATGGTCTGATGAGGACATTATGTTGGTGTTCAGAAAACGCCCTGATTGTAGAATGCCTCTGAAAGAAAATAATGAATGGAATGGTTTTCTTGTGAACAAGGGGTGGCTGCCCACAGATATTGTCTTGGTTCCAGACGTTTTCCTATGAGTTTGGAAAAGAGGGTAATCCCAAGGTGTTTGGTTATTAAAGTTCTGCAATCAAAGGGGTTGGTGAAGAAAAATTTGAGACTAAGTCCATGTGTAAAACCTGTTGAGAAGCATTCTTGGATAGGTTTGTGACAAAATACTTGACCAGTTCCTGAATTGATGAATATCTATAAGGAAGGAAGGCTTTCAGGCTCTGGTATGAATATTATGTTTCTTCCAGCAAACTGTAGCATGTCAACTTTCCAAACCAAAACGATTCTATAATCTCTAATTGGATTATTATATTTTAGCGTTGTAGTTTATTGAACAATGTTGAATTACTTCAGTTTTTCATCACTTTCCAATTTGCATTTGATTGTATGCTTTAGTTCATATTTAGAATGTGGTAAACTTTAAGCTGTTTTTTTACATGACTAGTAGATGCAGTCTGAATCTCATTATTGGTATTGTTTCCTGAATCTCAATTATGTGGTATTGATTTACTCCAGGTCCCTGGAGTTTCTAACAAGCCTGCCTTGCTAGCAAATTGCAGTGAAGCTTGAAGGTCAGAGAAAGAGATGAATCAGTGATATTGATTGACTTGAACAATATTAATATATGATGCTGTTATATTTTTGTTGTGCAACTTCTCTGGTTGGTTGACGTGTGCTCCTGTATAATTTTAATTGCAATATCCTATCAATCTCCCATTGCAATGGAGGCAGATTTCAGGTATGCAGTGGTGAAGTTAAATTCCTGTGGGAAAGAAGTATGTTATTCTAATTGGAAAGGTTTAGTTTAATTTTTTTTTTTTTTTTTTAATTTCTTAAATAGATTTTTTTTTTTTTAATTACGGATTTCGTTTTTGGGAATTTCAAGTGGCATTGAGAAAAATCAACTATAAAAAGGTGTAATTAATAAGTTAGCTAGTCATGGTCTAGAACACTTGTTATATGCCTATATTACATAGTTGAATCTAAGAGATCTTCTAATGAATTTTATTCACTGCAAATGCATCAAGCTTGATTATTTAACTTACAGAAAGATACCAAATACAAATAAAGCATTTATGAAGTCTCCACACATAAATATCTGCAGCACATCTGGAAGAAAATGAGAGGTAAAATGTACATCCATCACACAACATTGTAGATACTTTCTTTATCTTTAAAGCAGATTGCAGAAAATTCATCTCTTCCAATCTGGCTGGGCCACCTTCTCTAAAATTCAAGTTTTTTCAGTCTAATTAGACAACAATATAAAGTGAAATATGGAGAAAACTGGAATGCAGACTTGGAAAATATAGACAACATAAATGTAAGGGATAATTTTGATTCTTACCATGACTATTTCTAGGGACTTTTCACTTGCTTTTCTGCATCCTCGATGACATGAGCTTGATCTTCCATTGCGACGAAGATGGCGATGAATTTTGGCTGTAGAAACCATTATTTTCAACACCATCTTGTCTGAACTTTGGTGATCGGCTTGACTTCTAAGTCTCGCCTTTGCAGATTCAGTCACGGCCATATAGCTTGGAAAAGTTGGAGAATTCTGTGAACCGTTTCTGCAGATTCCAGCTTCACTGGGAAAGATAATCTTCTCCTGCTGGTTCTCTGATTCTCCTTGTTAGTTTGGTCTTCTTCTCGGCCATTTTCAGGAGGATGTAGCTCACACATCAAGATGATTACCATCCACCCTATCATGTTTCTCCTCTGCTGTATATGAGTTTGGAGTGGTTTGTACCTCAGGCTGTTTCGAAACTTTCAAACCGAAACAACTGCAGCACTTTTTTTCTCAGAAGAATTATGCACACCCTTCTGAGGAACATCATGAACTGGGGGGCTTGACACCTTCTTCAGGCTTGCCTTTTGCCTAGTAGCCGTGTCCTGAATCCAGAAACTTTCCTCGAATTTCGTCTAATCTTCTGAATTTCATTTTGAGGTTGTTCTGGTACTAATTCTGTTTGGTGGCTGATCAATTGCCCTTGTGTGCAAAGCATATCAGAATTACAAGTTTGTCTCCTAACCAAGTCCCTGCGGATAAGTGCTTGCAGCATAATGATACCCTTGAGAGCTTGAAATGCACGGCGAGCCTTTCGAAACAATATGTTTACATTACAACAGCATTAAGATTCAAATATAAACAAAAGCATTTGTTCTGATTTCGAATACAGACTAGTTCCAGTAAGTTCACATTTAGATAAGAGAAAGCATTACCAAATAGCCTCTGAAGGCTGCCTGTGCCTTTATAGCAGCTTGCTCTAGCACAACAATCTCTTCAGAATCTAGTGAAATCAACTCCAACGTTCCTTCTCTTTGAGCACCTTCTGTCCAGCAATGAGAAAATTCCATTCTGTGGTAAGTTGGAACTTAGATTAGCCGTCTCCAGTTCATGAGGATCTTGTTCTGAAACTACAGAAGGAATCTCGGCCTCCTCATCTGACAAACTCTTAACCTCATCCTGTATCACAGCGTTCTTCACATCAGATGAAATTTGGGAAGTAATACCAAATCAGAAACAATTGATTCTGACCTCCACATCAATGACAAGAGGCATGAACTTGGGATAGAATGTTGACACAATAAAGATGAGTGGGAAAAAATGAGAGCTCATACTTACTTTGACATACTAGATTTGGATGATTTCTTCCCAAAAAGCACAGTCTTGATCCATTTTCCAGGAGATTTCCCATTGAAAGCAAGCCTGGATCAACAACTGTGGACTCTGTCTTTAAGCCCCTGCAAAACAACATGAACAGAGCTCAAAACATAAATCTAAAGACCATAAATCACTTTGCTAGCAATGCTGAGTTCTGAGAACTTCTGAAATTAACTAACCACACAGTTACAACAATACATAATCAATCAAAATTACAAGAAGATTGAGGCTGCATTTAGCATCAAAGCGGACAAACAATGTCGAGAGCTTCAGCATCAAAATCACTAAGCCAAAAAGAAAAGGAACCAAAGACAAAACAGGCAATGTGGTTGAGATCTGAGGCATACCTGAGACAGAGAAACAATGGTGTGAGAGTGAACTGAAAACAATAGAACTCCAAGGATCAAACTTCCTGGTTATATTGAAATTAAAGTTAACAGTCGTTGTCTATTACTAGTAATGATGGACCCCTCCAACCTCTCCCTCTCTTTCTCTCTCTCTGTCTGTGAATCTACAGAGTAGTTCTTTGTTACAGTTCCGCAACTGAGCTTCTTCTTCGAGCTTAAAAGTTAGTTTGAAAGAGATGTGTCACCTATTTGTTATTCAATTAACTGAATTTTAAAATTCTTGATGTATTTAATAAATTTGATTAATATAAAGCCAATCTTATATTGCTGCTCAACTATATATTATAATGATAAATTCTTGTAAATTTAACAAGAAAAATGTGAAATATACATGGGATTGTTGATTCTTTAAGTTAAATTATAGTTTTATGAAGAATCAGTTAACCATTTTTTTTTTTATATTTATTTACCAGGAAATTGTGAGACACTTATGTGTTATGTTCACCAATAATTTGTACAAGGAGGACCCATAGTATTTATATTTTGTTTCATTAGATATTTGTCAAATTTTAGTCTTGTATGAAAATAGTATGATTTGACAAAGGCTTGGATACAACTTCTAACATCTTCTCTCACGCTCGGCATGTATGACCAAGGTCCAAACCCCTCATCACCCTAAACAAACATGACTATACCATGATAAACAAAGACTGATCACGTATATACTGTCATAACACGGTTAAAAAGACTGATCACGTATATACTGTCATAACATGGTTCTTCCATGATTTACCCTTTTTTTTTTTCTCTTTTTTTAGCTTAAAAGAATCTTTAGGAGGCATTTTTTTTAAAAAGAATTATCTTCAAATAACATTCAATTATTGAGAGAATTAAATAGTGTATCATAAATGCGTTACTTGTCTCTAGTGGGCATCAAATTTTGAGATAAAGAAATCACATAAACCAAAGGATGACTGATCAATAATGCCACCGACACCCTATACTTTGATCCCAAATTTAGAAGGGTACTGTGATTTTAAGCCTGTCTAAAGACCATATAATATAATAGAAAGTCAATAATAATTCAATACTAGTCTTTGATTTGACTATCTACCAATACCATCACTTAACTAATGCTCGACCAATGATTTAAAATTGACATTCAAACTCCACAAATACCTTTAATGAATAAAGAAAGTCTATAATACGACGATTTTATGAATGATAAATTCAACCACCGACTTTATAGTGTCAACTTTTGGTGAAAAGAGTCTACTTTATTATCTCTAAAATAATATATATTGTAAAATAGGGATGATGACCTTATTGACTTCATGATGTGGGATACAAAAACAACTTTATTTCATTATTTTTGATATTTTTAGAGTTGGGTGAGAATAACGAGGTAAAATTTAAAAATTAATAAAAACATTTCTCTAGGTTTGCTAATTTAATAAACACCTCAATATATAAAAAATTTATAAAATAACAAAAACACCCTTACCCACAATTGCCAGATTCCAACCACCACAGCTGGAGTCTGGTGTTACGGCACACGATTGGCCAGATTTGGTAATTCGTGTGTCGATATGGCATTTTCTGGCTAGATCCATATCAACGACCATTTTTAGCTGTCGTTGATGGTCAGCGACAGCCATATCTTGGTCATCGTTGATGGTCAACGATAGTCATATTTTGGCTGTCATTGATGACCAGCTACGGCCAAAGATCTGGCCATTATTTGGCAATAGATCTGGCCGAAAAATGATAGCTTGGCACACTACTAACAAGATCCAGCCAGTAGTGTGCCATTATACCAGATTCTGGCCACCTTCCGACGGTGGTGGCTGGAATCTGACAAATGTGGGTGGGTGTGGGTGTTTTTGTTAATATTTGAACTTTTTTTCTCAAAGTGCTTAGTTAAATTAATAAACTTAAGAGATTTAAAAATAGTTGAAGAAAATATAATAGTATTTTAAAGATAATGAAACTAAACAGTTATTTTGAGGATAAGATTGGGAATAGGATATGAAATATAGAAACAAACGGACCCTAAGAAACCTCTCTCTTATGGTCAGATGATAAGCCATATAATCTCTAGAGAGGCATTTACTGTCCATTAGACTTGTAAAGTGTTCTGTAATCCTGAGAATTAAGTAAGCTCTAACGTAGGTTTAGATGCCTCAGATATTAAGAAAAAAAAAAAAAACTATGAATGTAATAAATTCATATGTATTTCAATATTAACATAAACGAAGAGAGAGCTATGAATGTAATAAATTACATACGTATTTCAATATTAATTCTTAGTTATATAAGTTGTTTTGTTATTACAATGAGATAAGCACACTCCTAACACCAGTTAGCGGAGGTGTCTTCTCTTCTCCTCTACTCTTCAAGCTGGTGAGTGAAATCTACATACTGAGCAAAACCTTCAATACATTTTCTTAATAATACTTTTCATCGATTACAATGTGGGGTTTTGTGTATAGAAGGCTGGTATATGCACAAGTTTTACCAAATATTGATAGGTGTATCGTCCAAAATTTAGGCATTAATCATGTGGATTTGTGTTTGAGTTTGTTGCCCACTAGCATTCGATCATTCTCCACCAAAATCGAACAAGATAGAAAGGATTACTTATTACTGTATCATACCTCATAAACGCATGTGGGTTGTCCCCAGAAATAGCAAAATCCATCTCCGAAAGAATCAAGCTTCAATCTGCTAAACAACCAGATTCAGCCTGAAAGTTCTAAGAAACCGTGAATTTACGACTGCCCATATAACCAAACTTGTTAGACTGCGCCCTGGGTTACTTTTAGCCAATCCTGAGAGGTCAATTTTGCCTAAATTTGAGTTTTTCAACTCTTTCGGGATCACAGATGCTGAGCTTGCGAGTGTTTGCTCTTCAAATCCGACTATTTTGACTTGCAGTTTGAAAAATCTACTCATTCCTAACTATAAATTCCTCAAAAATGTGCTCTCTCTGATGCTAATGTTGTTAAATCTTTTACAAAAAAATCATGGCTCTTTCATCATGATTTGGCAAAGACTGTGTCTCCCAAACTTGCAGTCCTGAGAGAACTTGGAGTGCCTGAGCATTTTGTTCATTGATTTTAACATGTTATGCCGCTATAGTCCTCCAAAAACATGGGAAGTTCGACAAAAAACGTCAAGAAGGTTATTGAAATGGGTTTTGATCCTCAGAAATGTAGGTTCATCCATGCGATGCAGGTGTTTGTCTCAATGAGTCAATCAACTTTGGAACAGAAATTGGACATTTTCAGGGGGTGGGGATGGTCTGATGAGGACATTATGTTGGGTGTCAGAAAACGCCCTGATTGTATGAATGCCTCTGAAAGAAAAAAATGAATGGAATGGATTTTCTTGTGAACAAGATGGGTTGCTGCCACAGATATTGTCTTGGTTCCAGACGTTTTCCTTATGAGTTTGGAAAAGAGGGTAATCCCAAGGTGTTTGGTTATTAAAGTTCTGCAATCAAAGGGGTGGTGAAGAAAAATTTGAGACTAAGTCCATGTGTAAAACCGTTGAGAAGCTATTCTTGGATAGGTTTGTGACAAAATACTTGACCAGGTTCCTGAATTGATGAATATCTATAGAAGGAAGGAAGGCTTTCAGGCTTGGATATGAATATCTATGTCTTCCAGCAAACTGTAGCATGTCAACTTTCCAAACCCAAACGATTCTATAATCTCTAATTGGTGATTATTATATTTAGCGTTGTAGTTTATTGAACAATGTTGAATTACTTCAGTTTTTCATCACTTTCCAATTTGCATTTGATTGTATGCTTTAGTTCATATTAGAATGTGGTAAACTTTTAAGCTGATTTTTTTACATGACTAGTAGATGCAGTCCGATCCAATTATGTGGTATTGTTTCTGAATCTCAATTATGTGGTATTGATTTACTCCAGGTCCCTGGAGTTTCTAACAAGCCTGCCCTTGCTAGCAAATTGCAGTGAAGCTTGAAGGTCAGAGAAAGAGATGAATCAGTGATATTGATTGACTGAACAATATATATATATGATGCTGTTATATTTTTGCTTGTGCAACTTCTTGGTGGTTACGTGTGCTCCTGTATAATTTTAATTGCAATATCCTATCAATCTCCATTGCAATGGAGGCAGATTTCAGGTATGCAGTGGTGAAGTTAAATTCCTTGTGGGAAAGAAGTATGTTTTTCTAATGGAAAGGTTTAGTTTAATTTTTTTTTTTTTTTTAATTTCTTTAAATTAGAATTTTTTTTTTTTAATTACGGAATTCGTTTTTGGGAATTTCAAGTGGCATTGAGAAAAATCAACTATAAAAAGGTTGTAATATAATAAGTTAGCTAGTCATGGTCTAGAACACTTGTATATGCCTTATATACATAGTGAATCTAAGAGATCTCATAATGAATTTTATTCACTGCAAATGCATCAAGCTTGATTATTTAACTTACAGAAAGATACCAAATACAAATAAAGCATTTATGAAGTCTCCACACATAAATATCTGCAGCACATCTGGAAGAAAATGAGAGGTAAAATGTACATCCATCACACACATTGTAGATACTTTCTTTATCGTTAAAGCAGATTGCAGAAAATTCATCTCTTCCAATCTGGCTGGGCCACTTCTCTAAAATTCAAGTTTTTTCAGTCTAATTAGACAACAATATAAAGTGAAATATGGAGGAAAACTGGAATGCAAGACTTGGAAAATATAGACAACATAAATGTAAGGGATAATTTTGATTCTTACCATGACTATTTCTAGAGGACTTTTCACTTCTGCTTTTCTGCATCCTCGATGACATTGAGCTTGATCTTCCATTGGCAGAAGATGGCGATGAATTTTGCTGTAGAAACCATTATTTTCAACACCATCTTGTCTGAACTTTGGTGATCCGGCTTGACTTCTAAGTCTCGCCTTTGCAGATTCAGTCACGGCCATATAGCTTGGAAAAGTTGGAGAATTCTGTGAACCGTTTCTGCAGATTCCAGCTTCACTGGGAAAGATAATCTTCTCTGCTGGTTCTCGATTCTCCTTGTTAGTTTGGTCTCTTCTCGGCCATTTTCAGGAGGATGTAGCTCACCATCAAGATGATTACCATCCACCATATCATGTTTCTCCTCTGCTGTATATGAGTTTGGAGTGGTTTGTACTCAGGCTGTTTCGAAACTTTCAAACGAAACAACTGCAGCACTTTTTTTCTCAGAAGAATTATGCACACCCTTCTGAGGAACATCATGAACGGGGGGCTTGACACCTTCTTCAGGCTTGCCTTTTGCCTAGTAGCCGTGTCCTGAATCCAGAAACTTTCCTCGAATTTCGTCTAATCTTCTGAATTTCATTTTGAGGTTGTTCTGGTACTAATTCGTTTGGTGGCTGATCAATTGCCCTTGTGTGCACAAGCATATCAGAATTACAAGTTTGTCTCCTAACCAAGTCCCTGCGGATAAGTGCTTGCAGCATAATGATACCCTTGAGAGCTTGAAATGCACGGCGAGCCTTTCGAAACAATATGTTTACATTACAACAGCATTAAGATTCAAATAAACTAAAAGCATTTGTTCTGATTTCGAATACAGACTAGTTCCAGTAAGTTCACATTAGATAAGAGAAAGCATTACCAAATAGCCTCTGAAGGTGCCTGTGCCTTTATAGCAGCTTGCTCTAGCACAACAATCTCTTCAGAATCTAGTGAAATCAATCCAACGTTCCTTCTCTTTGAGCACCTTCTGCTCCAGGCAATGAGAAAATTCCATTCTGTGGTAAGTTGGAACTTAGATTAGCCGTCTCCAGTTCATGAGGATCTTGTTCTGAAACTACAGAAGGATCTCGGCCTCTCATCTGACAAACTCTTAACTCATCCTGTATCACAGCGTTCTTCACATCAGATGAAATTTGGGAGAAGTAATACCAAATCAGAAACAATGATTCTGACCTCCACATCAATGACAAGAGGCATGAACTTTGGATAGAATGTTGACACAATAAAGATGAGTGGGAAAAAAATGAGAGCTCATACTTACTTTTGACATACTAGATTTGGATGATTTCTTCCAAAAAGCACAGTCTTGATCCATTTTCCAGGAGATTTCCCCATTGAAAGCAAGCCTGGATCAACAACTGTGGACTCTGTCTTTAAGCCCCTGCAGAAACAACATGAACAGAGCTCAAAACATAAATCTAAAGACCATAAATCACTTTGCTAGCAATGCTGAGTTCTGAGAACTTCCTGAAATTAACTAACCAACACAGTTACAACAAACTACATAATCAATCAAAATTACAAGAAGATTGAGGCTGCATTTAGCATCAAAGCGGAACAAACAATGTCGAGAGCTTCAGCAATGTGTGGTACAAGCAATTAGGGGGCTATGATGTGTGGTTTGGAGCTTGCAACTGGCATTTAGACCCTCGATGCCCGCCTGGACCAAGTCCTGATGCCGATTTCGGAGAGGCACCATTGATGCTTACCATGTATCTCAATAGAATCAAGCATGATCTTGTAGTTGCTGTTCAAAAAAGTGGCTTCGCTTGGGCTTTAGATCGCAATAATGGCAGCCTCGTCTGGTCTATGGTATTGAAAACTGTTTATAATACTTTTCAACTTATTTCAATCAAACAACTTTAAACAAAAATCTGTATTTATATTCTGTGTCCTGAAAGTTTAACTATCTTCACTTGTTTAGTGATCTTATTTGTTTTTAACCAGAGAAATGTGCTTTCCATTGTAGAACGCTGGCCCGGGAGGACTAGGTGGAGGAGCAATGTGGGGAGCTGCCACAGATGAGAAAAGGATTTACACAAACATTGCCAACAGCCAACACAAGAACTTCAGTCTGAGACCATCCAAGAACACCACAATTGCGGGCGGATGGGTGGCAATGGATGCTAAAAACGGCAGTGTACTGTGGTCCACAGCCAACCCTAGCAATGCCACCGCCCCTGGACCGGTTACCGTGGCCAATGGAGTTGTATTTGGTGGATCCACATACAAACAAGGACCCATCTATGCGATGAATGCCAAGACAGGAAAAATATTGTGGTCATATGATACAGGAGCCACAATTTATGGTGGTGTTTCAGTGAGCAATGGATGTGTTTATATGGGTAATGGTTATAAGGTTTTTGTTGGATATGTAAATCCAAACTTTACTAGTGGATCCTCTGTGTTTGCCTTCTGTGTCTGATGACACAGCTTGTACAACGTAATAAAAAAAAACAATCTCAATTGTGTTTATAATAAGAATTAATCAGAAAAAACAATCCAAGACATGATGAAGATATATTGTAATTATAATTCTTAATGAAAATAAAATAACTAAACTGACTCAAACTTAAATCTGATTATAACGGTAGTCATTGATATAATAAGGTTGTGGCTCCGCCGCCTGCCTCGGCCGCTGTTGAAGGATTCTTGGATCCTTCATTTTCTTCATTGTTCCCGTCACCATCTCCCGCAGCGTCACTGAGATTGGTAACACTCACCAGTTGTGCATGCCCAAATTAGTTTTAAATTTCCCAGACTAAGTTAGAGTTGTCGACTTGTCCATGAACTTAAAATTAAATCAAAATTCAAACTCAATACACTATTCTGCAGTCCAAGGAGAAGAATAATGAATTATTTATTGACTGGAAAGGAGAAGTTCCTCAATTACACATGATAGATTTGCCATTGGAAAGCATTTCAGAAAGATTTAAACCTGCAGCAATGTCTATGATACCAGTGGGTTGGGCTTCTTATGGGGATTGGCATTCTAATTTTCTGGACTTGAAATGGGCTCAAGATTGTGTAATTGGAGGATTATTACTATCTACATATTACCCAACCTCTATGTATACAGTTTATATGGATTTTGATATGAATAGACCATTTTTTTAATTTTGTATATACAATAGATTCACAGACAATAGTTATTTTGTTTTTTTGTTATTCATTCAGAATTCGATACCACAAAAGTTTTTTTTTTTCTTTTTTTTTTTTTCTTTTTTTGGGTTAAGATTAAGAGCTACCGACTTTTTCGGTACAAATAATGGTTTAATAACACTTTCCCATCTATATACTTTTAAAATATTATTTTACTATCCAAATTTATATTCTTACAACAAACAGAAAGTAAACTCGATTCAGGCTATTGATGTTTTTAAAGAGGAGAGACTGATCAGTCTTTTGATGTTAGAATGTTGAATTTTAGTGGTTAAGATTGATCGGAATTTGACTTAAGAGGGACGACTATGCAAACCATAATCGTTCGATTGCTAGCGATTGGTGGGATTGATAAAAGTAGAATTTGAAAGGTGTTGGTGAGTGATAATCGGGAAAGAAAATGTTGGTTAACCTAATGGTGTAAAGTCACAACAATATCGGAATAAAAAACGGAATATAAATTTGGATAATAAAATAGTATTTTAAAAGTTTGAAGGGTGAAAAACGTCATTAATCTATTATTTGGGTGAGAAAAAGTTGTTTACTCTAAAATTAATAAATAAGGATTAACGTTATTTATTAAATCAAACAGAAAAATAACTTGTGACAAGCCAGCACGAAAAAAAAATATATAGAAATATTTAAAATCCCCAAATTTTTGCCTCAAGCCCCCCAAGTCCATGAAATTTCAAAAAATATCAGTGAGTCCTTCACAATTTCCCTCTATTGCCCTTAACTCAACTGGGGAAAATTTTGCCCTTAGGTTTAGCCGTTCTTGAAGGTAAAGAAAAGAGTGAAAAAAATTTCTCCTTATATTCTATGATTATTTGAAGCTTCTCATATGAAACTAATTTTCCAAATGGCTTCATATGCAGGAACATTTTCTTGGTGTAATAGCACGAATTTTTCACGTTCATTTGCTCCTAACACCAGTTAGCGGAGGTGTCTTCTTCTTCTCCTCTACTCTTCAAGCTGGTGAGTGAAATCTACATACTGAGCAAAACCTTCAATACATTTTTCTTAATAATACTTTTCATCGATTACAATGTGGGGTTTTGTGTATAGAAGGCTGGTATATGCACAAGTTTTACCAAATATTGATAGGTGTATCGTCCAAAATTTAGGCATTAATCATGTGGATTTGTGTTTGAGTTTGTTGCCCACTAGCATTCGATCATTCTCCACCAAAATCGAACAAGATAGAAAGGATTACTTATTTACTGTATCATACCTCATAAACTCATGTGGGTTGTCCCCAGAAATAGCAAAATCCTTCTCCTAAAGAATCTAGCTTCAATCTGCTAAACAACCAGATTCAGTCCTGAAAGTTCTAAGAAACCGTGAATTTACGACTGCCCATATAACCAAACTTGTTAGACTGCGCCCTGGTTTACTTTTAGCCAATCCTGAGAGGTCAATTTTGCCTAAATTTGAGTTTTTCAACTCTTTCGGGATCACAGATGCTGAGCTTGCGAGTGTTTGCTCTTCAAATCCAACTATTTTGGCTTGCAGTTTGAAAAATCTACTCATTCCTAACTATAAATTCCTCAAAAATGTGCTCTTCTCTGATGCTAATGTTGTTAAATCTTTTACAAAAAAATCATGGCTCTTTCATCATGATTTGGCAAAGACTGTGTCTCCCAAACTTGCAGTCCTGAGAGAACTTGGAGTGCCTGAGCATTTTGTTCCATTGATTTTAACATGTTATGCCCCTATAGTCCTCCAAAAACATGGGAAGTTCGACAAAAACGTCAAGAAGGTTATTGAAATGGGTTTTGATCCTCAGAAATGTAGGTTCATCCATGCTATGCAGGTGTTTGTCTCAATGAGTCAATCAACTTTGGAACAGAAATTGGACATTTTCAGGGGGTGGGGATGGTCTGATGAGGACATTATGTTGGTGTTCAGAAAACGCCCTGATTGTATGAATGCCTCTGAAAGCAAAATAATGAATGGAATGGATTTTCTTGTGAACAAGATGGGTTGGCTGTCCACAGATATTGTCTTGATTCCAGACGTTTTCCTTATGAGTTTGGAAAAGAGGGTAATCCCAAGGTGTTTGGTTATTAAAGTTCTGCAATCAAAGGGGTTGGTGAAGAAAAATTTGAGACTAAGTCCATGTGTAAAACCTGTTGAGAAGCTATTCTTGGATAGGTTTGTGACAAAATACTTGGACCAGGTTCCTGAATTGATGAATATCTATAGAAGGAAGGAAGGCTTTCAGGCTCTGGATATGAATATCTATGTTTCTTCCAGCAAACTGTAGCATGTCAACTTTCCAAACCCAAAACGATTCTATAATCTCTAATTGGTGATTATTATATTTTAGCGTTGTAGTTTATTGAACAATGTTGAATTACTTCAGTTTTTCATCACTTTCCAATTTGCATTTGATTGTATGCTTTAGTTCATATTTAGAATGTGGTAAACTTTTAAGCTGATTTTTTTACATGACTAGTAGATGCAGTCCTGAATCTCAATTATGTGGTATTGTTTCCTGAATCTCAATTATGTGGTATTGATTTACTCCAGGTCCCTGGAGTTTCTAACAAGCCTGCCCTTGCTAGCAAATTGCAGTGAAGCTTGAAGGTCAGAGAAAGAGATGAATCAGTGATATTGATTGACTTGAACAATATTATATATATGATGCTGTTATATTTTTGCTTGTGCAACTTCTCTGGTTGGTTGACGTGTGCTCCTGTATAATTTTAATTGCAATATCCTATCAATCTCCATTGCAATGGAGGCAGATTTCAGGTATGCAGTGGTGAAGTTAAATTCCTTGTGGGAAAGAAGTATGTTTATTCTAATTGGAAAGGTTTAGTTTAATTTTTTTTTTTTTTTAATTTCTTTAAATTAGAATTTTTTTTTTTAATTACGGATTTCGTTTTTGGGAATTTCAAGTGGCATTGAGAAAAATCAACTATAAAAAGGGTTGTAATATAATAAGTTAGCTAGTCATGGTCTAGAACACTTGTTATATGCCTTATATTACATAGTTGAATCTAAGAGATCTCTCATAATGAATTTTATTCACTGCAAATGCATCAAGCTTGATTATTTAACTTACAGGAACATACCAAATACAAATAAAGCATTTTATGAAGTCTCCACACATAAATATCTGCAGCACATCTGGAAGAAAATGAGAGGTAAAATGTACATCCATCACACAACATTGTAGATACTTTCTTTATCTGTTAAAGCAGATTGCAGAAAATTCATCTCTTCCAATCTGGCTGGGCCACCTTCTCTAAAATTCAAGTTTTTTCAGTCTAATTAGACAACAATATAAAGTGAAATATGGAGAAAACTGGAATGCAAGACTGGGAAAATATAGATAACATAAATGTAAGGGATAATTTTGATTCTTACCATGACTATTTCTAGAGGACTTTTCACTTCTGCTGTTCTGCATCCTCGATGACATCGAGCTTGATCTTCCATTGCCAGAAGATGGCGAGGAATTCTGCCTGTAGAAACCATTATTTTCAACACCATCTTGTCTGAACTTTGGTGATCCGGCTTGACTTCTAAGTCTCGCCTTTGCAGATTCAGTCACGGCCATATAGCTTGGAAAAGTTGGAGAATTCTGTGAACCATTTTCTCCAGATTCCAGCTTCACTGGGAAAGATAATCTTCTCCTGCTGGTTCTCTGATTCTCCTTGTTTGTTTGGTCTTCTTCTTGGCCATTTTCAGGAGGATGTAGCTTATCATCAAGATGATTACCATCCTCCATATCATGTTTCTCCTCTGCTGTATATGAGTTTGGAGTAGTTTGTATCTCAGGCTGTTTCGAAACTTTCAACACCGAAACAACTGCAGCACTTTTTTTCTCAGAAGAATTATGCACAGCCTTCTGAGGAACATCATGAACTGGGGGGCTTGACACCTTCTTCAGGCTTGCCTTTTGCCTAGTAGCCTCTGTCCTGAATCCAGAAACTTTCCTCGAATTTCGTCTAATCTTCTGAATTTCATTTTGAGGTTGTTCTGGTACTAATTCTGTTTGGTGGCTAATCAATTGCTCTTGTGTGCAAAGCATATCAGAATTACAAGTTTGTCTCCTAACCAAGTCCCTGCGGATAAGTGCTTGCAGCATAATGATACCCTTGAGAGCTTGAAATGCACGGCGAGCCTTTCAAAACAATATGTTTACATTACAACAGCATTAAGATTCAAATAACTAAAAGCTTAATACAGAATTGTGCCAACTAAAAGCATTTGTTCTGATTTCGAAAACAGACTAGTTCCAGTAAGTTCACATTTACATAAGAGAAAGCATTACCAAATAGCCTCTGAAGGCTGCCTGTGCCTTTATAGCAGCTTGCTCTAGCACAACAATCTCTTCAGAATCTAGTGAAATCAACTCCAACGTTCCCTCTCTTTGAGCACCATCTGTTCCAGACAATGAGAAGATGCCATTCTGTGGTAAGTTGGAACTTAGATTAGCCGTCTCCAGTTCATGAGGATCTTGTTCTGAAACTACAAAAGGATTCTCAGCCTCTTCATCTGACAAAATCTTAACCTCATCCTGTATCACAGCGTTCTTCACATCAGATGAAATTTGGGAAGTAATACCAAATCAGAAACAATTGATTCTGACCTCCACATCAATGACAAGAGGCATGAACTTTGGGATAGAATGTTGACACAATAAAGATGAGTGGGAAAAAAATGAGAGCTCATACTTACTTTTGACATACTAGATTTGGATGATTTCTTCCCAAAAAGCACAGTCTTGATCCATTTTCCAGGAGATTTCCCCATTGAAAGCAAGCCTGGATCAACAACTGTGGACTCTGTCTTTAATCCCCTGCAGAAACAACATGAACAGAGCTCAAAACATAAATCTAAAGACCATAAATCACTTTGCTAGCAATGCTGAGTTCTGATAACTTTCTGAAATTAACTAACCAACACAGTTACAACAACCACATAATCAATCAAAATTACAAGAAGATTGAGGCTGCATTTAGCATCAAAGCGGAACAAACAATGTCGAGAGCTTCAGCATCAAATCCACTAAGCCAAAAAAAAAAGGAACCAAAGACAAAACAGGCAATGTGGTTGAGATCTGAGGCATACCTGAGACAGAGAAACAATGGTGTGAGAGTGAGCTGAAAACAATAGAACTCCAAGGATCAAACTTCCTGGTTATATTGAAATTAAAGTTAACAGTCGTTGTCTATTACTAGTAATGATGGACCCCTCCAACCTCTCCCTCTCTTTCTCTCTCTCTGTCTGTGAATCTACAGAGTAGTTCTTTGTTACAGTTCCGCAACTGAGCTTCTTCTTCGAGCTTAAAAGTTAGTTTGAAAGAGATGGGTCACCTATTTGTTATTCAATTAACTGAATTTTGAAAATTTTTTATGTAATTAATAAATTTGATTAATATAAAGCCAATCTTATATTGCTGCTCAACTATATATTATAATGATAAATTCTTGTAAATTTAACAAGAAAAATGTGAAATATACATGGGATTGTTGATTCTTTAAGTTAAATTATAGTTTTATGAAGAATCAGTTAACCATTTTTTTTTTTATATTTATTTACCAGGAAATTGTGAGACACTTATGTGTTATGTTCACCAATAATTTGTACAAGGAGGACCCATAGTATTTATATTTTGTTTCATTAGATATTTGTCAAATTTTAGTCTTGTATGAAAATAGTATGATTTGACAAAGGCTTGGATACATCTTCTAATATCTTCTCTCATGTTCGGCATGCATGACCAAGGTTCAGACCCATCATCACACCAAACAAACATGGCTCTATACCATAATAAACAGATTTGGATAGAATTCACTCTTAAAAATAAAGAAAAAGTCTAATCACGTATATACTGTCATAACACGGTTAAAAAGACTGATCACGTATATACTGTCATAACATGGTTCTTCCATGATTTACCCTTTTTTTTTTTCTCTTTTTTTAGCTTAAAAGAATCTTTAGGAGGCATTTTTTTTTTAAAGAATTATCTTCAAATAACATTCAATTATTGAGAGAATTAAATAGTGTATCATAAATGCGTTACTTGTCTCTAGTGGGCATCAAATTTTGAGATAAAGAAATCACATAAACCAAAGGATGACTGATCAATAATGCCACCGACACCCTATACTTTGATCCCAAATTTAGAAGGGTACTGTGATTTTAAGCCTGTCTAAAGACCATATAATATAATAGAAAGTCAATAATAATTCAATACTAGTCTTTGATTTGACTATCTACCAATCCATTCACTTAACTAATGCTCGACCAATGATTTAAAATTGACATTCAAACTCCACAAATACCTTTAATGAATAAAGAAAGTCTATAATACGACGATTTTATGAATGATAAATTCAACCACCGACTTAATAGTGTTAACTTTTGGTGAAAAGAGTCTCCTTTATTATTACTAAAATAATATATATTGCAAAATGGGGATGATGACCTTATTGACTTCATGATGTGGGATACAAAAACAACTTTGTTTCATTGTTTTAGATAAGATTTTTGACATTTTTAGAGTTTGGATGAGAATAACGAGAAAAAATTTAAAAATTAATAAAAACACCCCTTTAGGTTTGCTAATTTATTAAACATCCAAATATATAAAAAAAATTATAAAATGACAAAAATACCCCTATCCACAATTGTCAGATTCTAGCCACCACAGCTGGAATCTGACGTTATGGCACACAACCAGTCGGATTTGACCGTTCGTGTATCGATATGGCCTTTTCTAGCTATAAAGATATGACCATCATTAATGGTCAGCGACAACCATATATTGGTCGTCGTTGATGGTCAACGATGGTCATATATTGGCTGTCATTGACGACCAGCTACGACCAAAGATCTGGTCGTGGATCTGGCCAAAAAATGGTAGTTTGACACACTACCGGCCAGATCCAGCCGGTAGTGTGCCATTATACCAGATTCCGACCAGCTTCCGACGGTGGTGGCTAAAATCTAACAAATGTGGGTGGATGTGGGTGTTTTTGTTAATTTTTGAACTTTTTTTTCTCAATGTGTTTAATTAAATTAATAAACTTAAGAGATTTAAAAATAGTTGAAGAAAATATAATAGTATTTTAAAGATAATGAAACAAACAGTTATTTTGAGGATATGATTGAGAATAGGATATGAAATATAGAAACAAACGGACCCTAAGAAACCTCTCACTTGTGGTCGGATGACAAGCCCTATAATCTCTAGAAAGGCATTTACCATCCATTAGACTTGTAAAGTGTTCTCTAATCCTGAGGATTAAGTAAGCTCCAATGTAAGTTTAGATGCCTCAGATATTAAGAAAAAAAAAAACTATAAATGTAATAAATTCATATGTATTTCAATATTAACATAAACGAAGAGAGAGCTATGAATGTAATAAATTACATACGTATTTCAATATTAATTCTTAGTTATATAAGTTGTTTTGTTATTACAATGAGATAAGCACATGCACACCTAAGGCAAATAAATTAAGCCATAACATTAAAGAGGAAGAGCGAAGGTCTAATCTTCTTTGAGGCTAAGAGCACCAATCTGAAGAACTTTTCGGTTGTACTGGCAACATAAATCTGCTGCCTTGGGTATGGGTTAGAAAGCAACATCTGCAAATATAAAATAAGGGTTCAAAGTCTAAATCATCCGAGACCGCTAACGCTGTAAATATACAAGTAATGGTCCTAATAAATTTAATATTAGGATATACTGCCTAAAGAATTATCATATAACTCTATACATATGTATATTAAATGAACCTTAGGGTTTATCACACAAGATTTCTCTAATAAAGTATTAAAAATTAAATTATCTTTGTTAGAAGTTTTATTTGCCTCACAACGCTAATTTAGTAAACTACTATAGTGTATGTATATGGTTATATTCTTTGCTTCTTTTAATTAAATTTTGAGAATGAGTTTTACCTAAACTCAGTTTATCACGATATCATAACCATGTTTGTTTGGAATCATGATAAGTTGTTATGATTGTCTTCATTAATTAAATAAATTGAATACTCCTCCGTAAACTGGAGTGATAACTTAAATCTACCTGAAATGCTCAGAAATGTTTAACACAATAATATTATAATGAAGTCAGAAATCACAACTGAAATGCTCAATTCAAAAGCCTATGGAAAAAAAAAATCCACCTCTTTCCCACTCAGTGCCTCCAGGCCTGCAAACCAAACAACAGGAAGTAATCAAATTATAATGGTTGTGAAAGTAGATTCAGTAACACATATACAATAGCAGTCCAAGACAGAATATTATCATGAACAGGTCCTCCACAGATGCCGGCCGGCTGGTGGCTCCTCTTGAAGGTCATCAGTCTTACTCCAAATTGACTTGCCTTTGCCATCCTCACCTCTTTTAATATATATATAATCAGGCCGGCCCAAGGGGTAGGCAGGTGAGGCAACTACCTAGGGCCCAAAAAAAAAGCTCCAAAAAGGGGCCCAAATTATTTTAAGAAATCCCACCATACCCTCGGGCCTCGATGAGTACTGCTCATCGGGGCAGGGGGGGGGAGGGGGGAGGGGGGACAGGGCCGCCCCAAGGGGTAGGCAGGTGCCTCAGCTGTTTCGGGCCCCAAAAAGGGATCCAAATTATTTAAAGATTTTTTTAAATAGATTTACAGAAATATCATTAAGCCTAAAAAAATTTATAATTTTTTATCTAAAACGGTCCAAAGGACCCCAAAAAAGTCAAAAAGACCCAAATTCATTATAAATTTTTTACATAAATTTACAAAAAAACCATGTTTCATATTTTCCATTCACACCCCTAAATTAACTAAACTAATTATTTAAATGTCTAAAATTTCAAAACACTCATTCAATCCCTAAAATAATGAAAACATTGCATCTCCACCCATCTACACAGCCATAGTGTCGATGTCGGCGTTAAAGTGATAATTCTGGTCAATTTTCTCACCAAAATTGACCGGATTCATCACTTAATCATTTCCGAAACGTTTTCCTAGCCTTGACAACCCCCAATTTGGCCTATTTTTGCTGATTTTCACAACCCATTTTCATTCTTCACCACGTGTGATAGCCATTTCTAGCACATATCCGCTGTCGTTGACCTTCCCCGACACCACCATCTTCGTCCCCTCAGCCCCCTCCTCAAAACCCCTCACTTACCTGACCCCGATAGCCCGCAGTCCACCTCTCGCTCTCACAAGAAATATTAGGTAATTTTACTATATTATCAATTGAAAAAGATTTGGTTTCTAAACTTGAATATAAAAATTTAATTAGTGGTTTTGCATCTCAGAAGGCAAGAAAAATAAATTTGAAATAATTTTTTAATATATGCTTATATTATTAAAATGGCTCTAAAGTAACTCTTGTCTAAAGTCACAAATATTCTTGAGACGAACCTATATCTATATATATAGCTTTAAACTAGTTCAGTGGTTTTCCAAGAAAGCTCAGACAAACCATTTCGACAAGAACTCTCAAACGGAGGAAAAAAAAAAAAGAAAAAACTTTATTGTAAAAGAGAAAGACATGTTTCAAATCTCAGTGACAGTAGATTGTTACTCTAGTCTCTTTCGAAAATCAATCGAGGTTCACGACTCGAACATATTTGTTACCAAAAAAAAAAAAAAAAAAANTATAAACTTTTACTCTTGAACTCGAAAATGAGCTACCTTTAAACCAGTTCAGTGGTTTTCCAAGAAAGCTAAGACAAACCATTTTGACAAGAACTCTCAAACAGGAGGAAAAAAAAAAAAACTTTATTGTAAAAGAGAAAGACATGTTTCAAATCTCGGTGACAGTAGATTATTACTCTAGTCTCTTCCGAAAATCAATTGAGGTGCACGACCCGAACATATTGGTTAAAAAAAAAAAAAAATTGTTGAGATAATAAATATTTTGATTGACTATTAGTGATACATTTTATTTATAAAACTAATGTTTTTCTCAACCTCTGCGTATAATTAAAATTATGGTTTATTAATGTGTATAAAGAGACACAATACACTTGAAGTTCACCGTTACAAATTAAAAATATTACCTCATTGATTTTGTTATAAATTCTACTTTTGATAGTAAACATTTTTTTTAATTAATTATTTTTATATAATAATGTATTATAAGATAAAATTGAAAAAATTGGGTTATGGGCTATTAATACCCGCTAATTCCTGGTTACCGGGGCCCGTGAATTTGGAAATTCTATAAGCCTAAACGGTTCCGTTTAGGGCATGACACAAATGTAAAACATCGTCATCAAACTCTCATCTTTC